CTACCGAAGAAAGAGCCATCTTTGACAAGTGGTTTCCATGGTGGGAGTTGTGAAAAAGCATTGCCACTTTTTTGTGAATGTAAGTAAAAAGCTTCTTTTCAATCCATCCTTACTTGAAAACAACTCTATAGTGACCAACAATATAGGTGTGAGACCGGAAAGCAAGGAATAATTCTGCTTCGTTATAGCTGAGCCAAGAGTCCCGAAATGAATCTACATAAACTGATCCAGGCGTGATAAAGCATTGTTCTCATGCCCCTTGAATGCACCCCATCTCTCAATTTAGGCTCTTTGCTTAGTGTATCCTTAACTAATCTTGGCATTTGCGGGGTGCTTAACAGCCGGGCCGCCCCTTGAAACGTAGGAAAGAACATTAATCTTAAGATCACGAGTAGTTTTATGTCTTGAATTCATAGGGCAGACACTATAATACCTGATATTAGCCTATTAACCCCGGAATTACGGGAGAAGTAGCTTAACTTAGTGCTGATGATTTCGAAGGTATGGATGCTCCAATGTTTGTGTTTAATTGCTCCTTTAATCCACCTTGGCTAATAAACAGAAGATGATGTAGTGAAAAATAGGAGTATATATGATCAAGTTTTTCACCCTCATTATTCTTTTCCATCACACATTCAAACAATTTCACTTCTTCTTCTTCACTTAGTCTATCTTTTTACTCCAACAACAATATGTTTTCAGCTTTAAATGTTGCAGCTTTAGCTGCCATGCTCGGTCACATCAACCTCGCTTTGGCCCAGAGCCAAGGTTGGGCTCAATGTAAGTTGACTCAACGAAACGAAAGTAGTACATCATGACTGACCCTCTCAGGTGGCGGTAACGGCTGGACTGGTGCTACAACCTGTGTATCAGGATACACTTGCACACGTTCAAAGTGAGTTGAACCCCATTAAAATCTTTCGGATCAAGCTAACATGTTTATAGCGATTGTATGTTAAGCCTTCTAGCAACATTTACATTTACTTATTTTATTAGATTACTCTCAGTGCATCCCTGGAAATGTCGTTCCCTCAGCTACAGCGACAATTGTTACCCCAACGACCTTGAAAACCGCGATCACAACTCCAACCAGTGGCGGAAGCAGCAGTAGCATCAATGACAAATTTGTTGCTCATGGAAAGAAATACTTCGGTCTTGCCACAGATCAAAACCTTCTTTCATCTGGAAAGAACGCGGATGTCATCAAAGCAAACTTTGGACAAGTGACACCGGAGAATAGCATGAAGTGGGACGCGGTTGAGGGTATAGATGGTCACATAGGTCTTGAAGAGTATATCGCTGACTGTGGATAGGAACACAAAACAAGTTCAACTTCGCTGGTGGCGATTACTTGGTAAACTTTGCTACTGAGAACAAGAAACTTGTTCGCGGCCACACACTCTGTTTGTTATACCAAATTCGTCTTTGAGAATGAGAACTGACATCAATAGGCTGGCATTCTCAACTCCCTAGCTGGGTTAGCTCTATCACAAACAAGGACACGCTCACTAAAGTCCTTCAAAACCATGTCACCCAAGAGGCGACTCGCTGGAAGGGAAAGATTTACGCATGGGTATGTCATCATATTTTGATTTCGCTCATATAACTAATCATTATAAGGATGTCGTCAACGAAATCTTCAATGAAGATGGTTCGATGAGAGACAGCGTGTTCTACAGAGTCCTTGGCGAAAGCTTTGTGTCCATCGCCTTTAAAGCCGCTCGGGCAGCTGATCCAAATGCAAAGCTCTACATCAATGATTACAAGTAATTCTATCTTTCAAATTTCTACCTACAAAACTAACATTTCATGAAGCCTTGATTCAGAATCTTATGCCAAACTCACAAAGGGAATGGTCGCACACGTCAAAACTTGGATCGCTCAAGGAATCCCCATTGATGGAATTGGTTCGCAAACCCATCTCTCAGCCGGCCAAGGAGCTGCTGCAAAGGGCGCTTTGACTGCACTTGCCGCTTCCGGTGTCAGTGAAGTTGCTGTCACAGAATTGGATATCGCTGGTGCAAGTTCTACTGATTATGTCAATGTGAGTTTAAATATCTGAGGAATCCCCTTCGAGATGAAGTAAGAACTGGTTCTAATTATTGAATAGGTCGTCAATGCATGCTTGAGTGTCAGCAAATGTGTTGGTATTACAGTCTGGGGTCTCCGCGATACCGACTCATGGCGTTCAAGCTCCAGCCCATTGTTGTTCGATGCCAACTTTTCTCCAAAGCCCGCATACAACGCGATCTTGGCAGCATTGTAGAAATATTTCTACCAACGGGATGGAGGGTATTAGTACCCCAAAACTATTTAATGTATATAGTTGAGTTTGAAGGCAGGCCTGTTGCCAACGAGTATGTTTATAGGGTCGTTGTTGTTGTTGTTGTTGTTTGTTATCTTCAATTCTTTAGTTCGAAATCTTACATTATCATGCACCACCGGTGGTTGCGCTCATTTAAATTACTCCCTAGACCCTTTTGATTGTTTTCAAATCTAGCTGCCCACATCGTGTGATATCCGGCCCGACAAGGAAGCCTGCAGCCCCGCAATGAATGCGCATAGAAATTATGAAACGTTTTACTTGCTTTAGTTTCGCCGTCAACTCGAAGCTCGAAAGAACGAGGCTTAAACCCCATTGATAGGTCATTGAATCCCGAGGTCATTAGCATATCAAGATGTGGCTCGTGCAAATAAAATATAATAGATCGTGGTAATATCTCGGCAAACCTCACACTTAAAAACCACTACCTTCTCTTATAGAGTCGAATTCAAATCAATACATTATCTTCCCAACACTATTTCAGTTGTTTTTAAGTGCAGCGGGAGAGTAAATTGCTTAACTACCACATTATTGCTACCACATCAAATTATCGGGATTCAAGTATATCTCTTTGATTGTCAACATGAACTTCATGAGATTTTTGGACGACGCGAGAACAATTTGCGGGATTGAGCTAACCTTTCAATACACCTCAGATATCTCGTGGCTCTTACCGTGCTCCTATTCATGTCAGTCTTAGGAAATCGTAGGTAGAAAGAATTTTTGATGTCATTCTTCAAAGCATAGAGCTGATTGATCATGGGCAGTCAGACAGAAGCGTCAACCTTCAACCATCAACGGTTGATTATTATCCGTCAAAGTTGAATATCGCTGACCTATTAATCCCTCCTATTCAACTATGAAGCATCCATAACGAACCCATGTGCATACCATTTTTCATTATTGCTTCTGATTCATTTCATGTCGCAATAAGTACGAAAAAGCAAACCACCCATGTCTGGATTTCATTACACATATTCAGACCCGGAAGTTACTCTGTTTGTGGACCTAGTGGTCTGCTGACAGATGAATATATTGATAAAAGCTTAATCTTTCTCATGTTTTCTCGTACACAGTTTACTATCTCTCACTTTGCACTTCTGATGTCCTAGATATTTTTACTCATCCCAAGCATTGTTCATTGAACATAATTAAAATTACCACAGCCCGTGATTCACCAAGGGAGCAGGAAGTAATCACAGCTGTTCAGCGGGGGATAAATGAAGAAGAGCTGGCAGTGAAATATTTACAAGAAAACATCTCATTCACTTGTCAAATTTCAAATGGGATCCCTTGAAGCTCAAATTTTTCTTTTTGGCAAAATGAAGCATAAGATAGGTTATGCAATTCAGGTGTGATCGGCCTTTCTAAATCAAATTCATTTATTCCCTTGATTGTTAAGCAAGTATCTATTCAATCTCAATCTAGCTATTCAGGTCTTCGGTTGAGTTAAGATTGATTTAGTGATGCGCAAAGCGAAGCAACCCATTTTTGAAAGAAAGGCACAATAACACTATACAATCCACTGCCGGCGAGAATATTTTCGAAAATGATATTGGCGAGGTAGGATGATATCAAGGAGTGACTCCAGTATCAGAAGGATACTTGTAGCATCAAGTAGAGGTTGTATGGACTTGAGGCGTAGTCGCTTTTTTGTATCTTAGAATCTCAAAATGGCATATATCCTCTCTATCTTCAATTATTATGCAACGTAGAAAGATAAACCAGTGTGGCATAAGTATAGAATTGTCCCATAGTTATTCCAGATAATTAGACATCCTTGCAAAAACTGCGATAGTGAAGTGGGAAGAGTATTCATCACAAGAATGTACATCAGCTGACCATGATTGATAACAAGGCAATAGAAGAGTCATTGGTATCAACATATATACATTCCCTCCGTGAATTTCTATGTATACCAAACCTTGCCAAGTGGCATAGTAGTAAGCTGTATGGATACACGCTATTTTTACTGGTAATTAAGAAACCATTGACTCTGAGGCTGGGCCTGGTTGGGTAGCTGACAGTATGCCTAGAGTAACAGTGATCGTTCCGAACATCAATCGCAGCCTTTTAGAATCCATACTGATACAGACCTATGATATGGGAGGTTAATATTGAAGGTAACGTATCTTTTTTTCCCAATCCAATCGTACAATAGGCTTGCCTGGTTGCAGCAGGGCATCAATATTGGTCGCAGTAAAATGGGTACGGCTATCGAGCTGACTAAAATCAAATATTTCCTTGCTGCAGTACTGTGTTAACTGTGCGAGCATAAAAATCAGGCTGATTGGTAATTTGAATTCATGTGGAACATTATCGCTCTCTATACGGCATCAAGAATCGCCCTGATTTGTGGTCGAATACGGTTTCTGGTAGTGGACATGCGATATTCAATACGGCCAGCTCGAACCGTAGCAATATTTTGTCACCCTAGACGACTTATTGCTTTTACATATAAGCTTCCAAAAATCCATCCTAAAAAGTGTCTCGAGATCTTCCTCCTAGAAACTTTCAAGCCCGCGACTTCTTTCAAGAATACCTTTTGGATATCACTTCAGTTATCTTACATTGAAAACACAACAACAACTTGAATACTTGTTACTTTCTGAGTAACATTAAATCCATTCACATACCGTTTACCATTACTTTACCGAGTAATAAATCTCCATTCACGATGCCTCCTCAACAGAGCAACAACATGGTACGTGCTATGACTTTCATCAACCCCTACCTCTCATTTGTTTCTTGTACTTTAGGTCAACACCGATCAAGTGATAGTTCAAGTGCTAACTGAATAGACCAAGCAACAGAAGATCAGCGTTGGCATTGAGAAGCTTAAGACAGCACGTGCTGAAGCTGCCGAGAAAAAGGCCTACGAAGTAAGTAATTTTTCTTCCTTGCGCTATAAAATAATATCGTTTGTAAATACTAATGTGATTCACAGGCTGCTAACCCTCCTGCAAAGGTTAACTCATCAAACGCCGCAACTTCTGTGAATCAAGCTCCTAAATCGGTATGTCATCGTAATTAGTCTTTGTTAATTGACTTGTACTAATCATAGTATACAGGGCACTTCCAGTTCCATTTTATCTCTTCCACGTATGAAAAAGCGTCCAGGAAAATCAATGACCGAGGTTGCTAAGAAAAAAGCCGCCGAGGAAGCTGCTGTAGCTGCCAAAGTCAAGCGCCAGATGTCAGAGAAGGAAGACGGAGAGATCGATAGCGACGAAGAAGATATCGTTTACAAAGGCCACATGAACAACGGTGACCAAAACCGGAAGTTTGCCCCAGTCGATAATAAATACAACAAAACCAAGGCTTCAGTCCCAGCTTCTGGCCATGCGCCATCAAACAACAAAGACCAAAAGACCTTGGGCCACAATGAGATCAAGAATGAGGCTAAGAAAACCACAAAGTTCAAGCCCGATATCCCAAAGCTCCCTCCCAGAGTTCAAAAGTTCCAGGACCTTAAGAAAGAGAAGGAGCAGTCTTCGGTCAAGCGCAAGTATTTCGATACGGACTCTAGTGAGTCTGAAGAAGAAATCGCTAAGCCTGCCAAGAAGCCGAAGACCACAAAGGCAGGCATGAACTTCGAAAATGTTTCCACCAAGCGCAAGCATACTGAGGAGGTAGAAACAAGTGGTCCTGTGAAGAAACAGAAGATCACTGAAGCAATTAAAAAACCTGTTGCTGTAAGTCCACTCACAATCTGGTTCATATTATAAAATCATAAGCGAAACTTACTGACCAATCAAATAGGCTCCTGTAAAGCGCGCCCCTATCAAGGAGATGAAGGTTCGAAACAACCCCACCAAGAATTTGTTAGGCTTTGGTGGTTCCAAATCTACCAAGAAGCCATCAGTACCAAGGAAGGGTTCTATGCAGCCTAGGTCGGTTTCTGAGGCAGCGAACGAAAATGGCGAGAAATCTACAGAAAATGTCTTGAAATCCGTTTCCGCGCAAGTTAAACCAAAAGTCGTCACATCGCAGAGCAATTCAGCCGTTCCATCGACTGGAAAGCCATCGAAACTCCAATACCTTCCTAACATTTCTATGGAGGTGCTTTTTGGTGAAGCACCAAGTGTTGCAGCTCAATCAATCGAGAGCCCACAATCAGCCGTTGATAACACCCCCCCACGATCAGCCTTTGATAAAGCCCCTGTCAAGAAGACTAAATCAAATCGTCGTGGCCCAATTCCTGCTTCCAAAGTCGAAGTTACGAAATTATCCGCTTCGTCCAGATCCATGTCTACCACGGCATCAACTAAAGCGGCACAACAAAGTCGCCGTAAAGTTGCTCCTGATCTCCATGCTGAATTCGCAAAGCCGTCTGCTTCGATTCACAAACCCTCACCAGCCTCCACAAGCACTTCCGATAAGGCTCAATCTACTCGCCGAGGCGCTACTCCAGCATCCAAGGATGAAGCTACCAGGAAAGTTCCTTCTTCAATCCCCTTACCCACCTCTTCATCAAGTGGAAAGGTAATACCTAATCCTCGTCGCGCCGTCTCACCTCTTCATGTTGAGCTCAAGAAGCCATCTATTTCATCAAAACCTTTGAGCACCAAGACACCAACAAATGAAGCTGGTAGATCTACATTAGACCGTATTAAAAATTCAACTTCCGCCCCAAGAAAGATGATCAAGAAGGGGAACAAAACTGATGGAGTTGTGCCCACTCCCAGATCACCAGTTGTTGATAGATTGGAAAACACCAAAGACAACATGAAAGACAAATGTGAGGCAAAGAAAGTGGAGATTTCAGAACAGCCAAAGCTTATGGCTGGAATTAATCGTTCTCGTTCAGCAGCTTTGAACAACGAGGTTGAGGTGGCACCAGAGACAAAAATCAGCGAAGATATTATTAGCCTCGATCCCAAGGTTGGCCCTTCAAGCCAAGCACAACGACCAATGCCACAATTTCTCGGATTTCCTGGAATCCCAGCTGCGAATTCGGATAAAGGGTCTGTTATGAATGATTTTTTCAAATTTGAAAATGCCAAGGAAACTTTCAAGACTATTACTCCGAACACAGAGCTCTCTGACACAGCGGATGCTAGAGACGCTATGGAACTTGAGCTTGAGCGCGAAATACAAATCGAACTTCAAAATTCCTTCCATGCTGAGCAATTGCGAACAGCTCTCGAAGATTTGATTGCCCTTCGAGCTGAAAGTGGGGAATCGTCTGATAAAGATTCATCAAATGACGATAGCGATGAATACTCTTCCGGAGATGAATCTGATGAGGAGCAATGTGAAGTTCCTCGAAAGGTCCCTAAGCCAACTGTCTTGTACAAGGGATATAATGGTGTCTTACAAGAGGAACCCTGTTATGCTAGGGATCGGGGTTATGAGAGTGATATGTCAGATGCCGATGAAGACAAGACTGTATATTACCAATCGCCTTACTTTGAGATAGCCTATCAGCGCGCGCATCCGTATATCCCGGGCTCTGTCTTCAATATACCGATCACCCGCAAACCTGTCTCTAGTACACCAGCCGTTCCCAAATCTGTCCTTGATGAATTGGAGGCCGAAATGGAACGCTGTCTTGAAGCTCAAATGGCTGAGGATGCAGTTACTGAAGAGGAATCTTCACCACCTGTCATTCCTCGCTCCGCCTTCGATAATTTTGAAGCCGAAGATAATTTTTCGTCTGCTGAGAGACATCAAAAGGATTACTCGGAGGAAATGGCATCAGCCCCTATTGAGTCTTCAGTAACTTCTGTAACTTCTGTAAAGAGTTCCACCGATTTTGAGGGTGATTTTCAAGGGGTATCATTCGAATTTAATGATGCTTCAGGTCAGGAGTCTGGACTAACAGAGGAGGATCCATTTTCTCTGCTAGACACATCTTTCACTTTCTCAAACGCCATGGAAATACCAGTAGAGCAATCTTCCACATCTGAAGGTGAACATTCAGATTATACCAAAGAATCCAGCGATAGACCAGAAGAGCAAACCCCTCGGTCCGAATCACCCGAGATGAGCGCTGGCCCATATGTTGGCCTAGATGGCTGCGTCGGTTTACCTCCACTTGAAGATTTTCCTGAAGAATCTGAAGACTGTGATGAATCTAGCGAGTCCGATGTTGAGGATTCTGAGATGTCAGAAAGCGATGAATCCGATATCATCACCATAGATGATACCACACCAGAAGAGTCTGATGAATATGGTGATCTCGAAAACTTAGATAAAGATGAAGATGCAGAGCTTTACCAAAAGCACAGGGTCCCAGCAGACCTCGCGAATGTCGAAATCACAATGGAGCCAACAGAATTGCAATTGCTGAAGGCCAAGACATCATGGGAATTGTTCGACCTTCGAAAATGGGAGCACGAGAATGAAGTCGAAGTTTATGCAACATTTGACCGCGAGCTTCTCCTTCGCAACTTGAACGTCTCGAGGAAACGCATTGCTAATTATATGAAGGTGGTGAAAAAATACGAGAATCGCACTGTCCCAAAAGCGGAGGCTGTGAATGAGGACGACAGCAGTGATGATTCGGGTGACGATGAATGTTCTCATCCCACCAATCTTAATATAACTCAAGTTTTTGAGACCATCAACGTCCCAGACAGTCTCCCTGTCGTAGATCTTGATACCGAGGCTGAAAGTAATACCCATCCTTTCGGACCCATCGATTGGTAGTGGTTGACACAGACTTCACCGTTCCTTCTTTCTTTGGGAATTGAAGGTGGCCAGATTGCAAAGAATAAGAGATGTATCTGGCCATTCTCCTACTTCGTGATAGCTGTATATCGTGTCGAGAGAGAGAAAAACATTTATATCGTCGCAACTACCGCCGCCTCAAAACCTCTACTCCAAAAACACCGCCCACAACACCAACACAAAACAACCGACAACAACCCAAAAATCTCAACCGAAGAAAATCATTTACTTCACGTTATTCGGCCTGGCTTTTACGTCTTCAAGACAATTGATCATTAGGGCCATGAAAAAATAAAAATTGCTCGGCAGTGCCGTTTGCTTTCCATAGCAGTCTTCCCTGCATACGTACCAAACCCATTCTCCCCTTGATTTCAGGGACCTCGGCGTCGTCATATTAGCGACGACCTTGAAGATATGTTTGGGCATATCATCTACGAAAGAAATACTTCAGAGAGCGGCAAAAAACCATATTCTATAATCCGGAGTTGGGATAATATCAATCAATTCATGAGTTCGACCTTGGGATGTTGTGAATCGGGATCTCGGATGTCTGTTCTATTTGCCACTGTATTACTATCACCTCCAGGGTTCTCGGAATTTTCGAGACAAGATACTTTTTTTTACGAATTTTTATTTGATGGCAGAATATCGCGGTTCTGTCATTCATGGTTTACTATTGCGATTAACGATATACCACGATTCCGTCGGAGAGCTTGTCTCGGACTCCGCGTCCTTCTGATTCTGGCAAGTAAAGTGCCATTTGTGGGTTCCGATTTTCCAGTTTACGACATCTGCGTTCTGGTGTGTAGAACATCTTTATATTTTGGGGGTTGATCTTGGGGTTAAGATTGAGATAGAATTCGAATGCATGTTTTGAAATGAGAGGTTTGATTGACCTCAAGGTTTGAGATTCTGTTGGAGGGAGGAAACAAATGTCAAGGCGATGGATGTAAAAGGGGAAGAATATGTGAAGATTGCTGGTGGGGGATTTTGTATGGTGCTCTTATCTTAGAAATCTTGTTTGGCGGCAAGATTTCGAGGTTTGGGGCCAGAATTTTGGCGGGGCGTTGAGATGCGAAGGACAGAAAAACTTGCGCGGGGAAGGGAGGCAGTTTTATTGCACGAGTAAGCAGGGTGGCAGTCTGTAAAATCAGCGAGATCCAAAGAGAACCAAGAAGCCTTAGGTCTGGCCAACCTAGGGCGGAGTCGGCTCTCAAGGATAAAGTCGATTGAGTTTGATAATTGCGCGATTGAGATAACCGTGAAGTTTGTGGTAGATTTAAAGTTGATCTTCAAGGAGAATTATATAGCAGAGGAAACCGTCGAGGGAAAATGCGGTCTGGGATAGTAAAGATGCTGAAGTGGGCATTCCTCTGAGAAAGAGTGATTTGTATGTAGCAAGTAGCGATAGTAAAGACTCTTCATTCTGGGTCTCATAGATCAATGATTGTAAATTCTTTCCGATCCATCGCAATTGAAACCGTGTGAATTCTTGATGTTATTCTTACTCTAAAATATAATTCCTAAAACCCTACCCAAAGTCTGACCCATGCTTACCTGTTCCAGTCCCTCCGTTCTCCTTTTGAATTTGTATTGACCCGCAATAGTTGAATATATCTGGTTTATGGTGCTCCTCCAGTCTCTTTCTGCAATCTTCATGCTCAAGGTCTGTCCAGTCTGGATCATCTTAAACGATATGACTGTTCTTTTGTCGCTACACCAGTGACCTCATCTACCCTCTCTATTACCATGAGATTTTCATTGGATTCTGAAGTAGGAAGCCCCTCCGGTACAGGCTTCTTCCAATCTCTCTTCAACTCAGTCATGATTCCCTTCCAATCTCCAATCTCCTCATCCGGCCTTATCCTTCTTCTGAACCCATATCTTCTGATTTCTACTAGCCAGACCATCATCCAATACTGGTTGAATATCAATGCGAATATGGCGGCTATCCATGAGCTCCCTAGGAATGCACCCCCAACAGAAGCTTCGACACCTAGTGCAGGCCCTACTAACGACACCATCTGGTTTACCATGCTGGTAACGGCTGTTAAATTCAGTGTAACAGTCATTGTGAGATTAGATGCGAGGAAAGAAAAGAAGAGAGCGCAGTAGACGATACGAGCTGTAGGTTTAAACATATATATTGCCGATAGAACAATTGTACCACCCGATCCGATCAATGCTAGACCATAAAGAGCGAGGATGGCAATGGTACCAATGTTCAGCATTCCAGCAGTGAATGGCATTGCAGTGGTAGCAAGACCAAGTAGCGGAACGGTAAGAGTAGTATTGACTACACGGAAAGTCGATGGAGTAGATGAGGTGAGTTGTGTCAAGCCTTATCAATATATCAGCTTGGTGTGTCCATTCCGCGGTTAGGATTGAGTTTATGAATTTTGACTTACCTTTCAAGGCTTGAGAATAATTTGAACAGCCATCAACGACCCATTTCTCCTCTGTTGTGATAGTTCCTCGACAGATTTTCATTACATGTAGACTGTAGAAATCTGCAACTCCAACTGTATCTGTGATGTTCGAGACCAACACTTTTTCGGCTTCGTTGAGACCATCGTTATCGCCAGCTTCAATCTTCTTCGCGATGCTCTTGACCTCCTTGATAACATTACCGAATAATGCTGTGGCGAAATCGAATGCTGCATCTCTCTTTTCTATAGAATTTGATGATAAATCGCGGGTATCTAGAGCAGAAATATCGATTATGCTTGTGGTATTTGCTATGGTAGAATTGACTGCTGCAAATTCTACCAACCTCTGGCCGAGGTTTCCTGTTTTTAACTATTCAACATCAGACGGGAGTCTATGAATACCTAAGGAACAACTTGCCCTCAGGAAATAATAATCTTCTAAAACCCCATCATTTGAACCCGAGAATATTGTGATGACGCCCAGTGTGAATGCTATTGTAGACAAAATTAGTGATATGAGTGCATGCCAGCGAATTGGTTTGCCTTGAGATATCTTCATTTTCTCTTATTTCGTGATTTCTGCTATTGGAATGAAATAGTACATGCGAGCAAGAAAATCGGAATCAGCATTCTCCTCTGAGAATATATAAAGACACGAGAAACTCCCATACGTGCCCTATATGCAAGGATTAAAACTGGAAACCCCCGATATAACTTCCAGAGATGCAGCAAAACTTTAAACGAGGTTGTGATAGTCGCATACTTCACCGCAAGCATGGCTATGCTAGACAGATTCTTACTCAAACACACATGATTATGGTGATTTTCACGAAGAAAGCCTCAGATTGGAATAGAGTTTGGAATCTTCTATGCAAACTTCTTCGTGTGGGGGCATATTTCGTGCTTGATGCGAAGTTCCTGAAGCGAATACTGATACGACAGGATCTAAAGCTTGTAGACGCCCTCCAGCGGAAAAATCTAGATCGTCACAGGGGTAAACATCCATTCAAAGGGCTGTGTTGTAGGGGGCATAAGTGCCGATAAAGTCCGTGTCACTGTTCGGATGTTTTTCAAAGAAGACAATGTCCGAGAACAGTCAAAAAAGCTTTAAAGATAAAGCTTGTCTCAGATATTACCCGTGCCGCGAGATGTTCTTCCCCCTTAAATGGCCCTTTACTGGTATCAATTGATGCAATTCATATTGTGTAGTCATATAACCCTAAAATAGTTTTGTGTGGTAAGGAAACTATGAATTTTCACTGTATACAAAATCCAGAAATTCTTCAGCTATATATAAGTTTAACAACTACCATCTATCTCACTTTAGTCAAAGCTGGGCTTATTGAACAATAGTCAAAGTTTCCATATTGGTAATTGTTCCCCCAAAATAGAGAGAATGGGATCGCTTTCCCAGTAGCATCCTGTACATAAGATGTTGCGATGGAAATCAACAACTCCATTCCTCCACTGGTGGCTGCCGCGAGTAGATAGTTACACTTCAGAAACAATCTTGTGTATCATTGTTTGATGTAAATTTGGAAAACAAGTCGACGGTGAAAAACACTAGCGGCGATGTAGCCGAGATACCAGCAAATGACTTGCGCAATGATATAGTCAAAACCAATGGTGGGCCACCGTTCCGTTGATGCAGCAGTGTAGGGGAACAAGTAGACCAAATCGCAGCGCGAGGACAATTTACTCTTATTATTGGCCAATTCCGAACATATTGGTCGAGAGTGCGTCAAATGCAATAGACTTGGAGCAAAATGTTATGGTCCTGCAATAATTTCACGAAAGGGAAGGACTCACATTGGAGTCAAACGACTGTATGAGTTGGCTAGATCAGAAGTTAGTACCAAGATTTGAGAGCAGTATCTCACGTTAACTTGTCGCTATAGCACTCATCAAGATGTAATTGATAAAGGGGCCAAAGATAGTGCCTATAATTTGAACTTTGGAAGTACACTTAGGATTTAAAATACCATACTGGCCCAACTTTGAGTTTGGAATTAGAAAGCCTGCTTGGCACTGGAAGCAAAACTGCCACGCAAAAAGTTGCTAAGCACAATACAATTGAGATTAAGACCACACTTGAGAACTTGGCATACATTCCTGTATCTTCCACTTGCTGGCTGTCCTCGCGCATCGCTAACTCGCTCACATTGGCCACTGTAGTTTCATTTTCCGTGGAAGGGTTCGGAGACATTCACTTGAAAACCTTTCATACACTTGAGCGAGAGATTTGGGAAGTAAACACAGCACAATACAGGAGGTGGTTTCCGAACGGGAAACAATGTCTGATGGTAACAATTCCGAACTTCTTCTGGAGCATTCCGTAATCACGTCGTCGCTTTTTCTTTGTACGAAGGTTGTATCAATCGTTTGGTATTTCTAAAAACTACCAGGCTTGGCCTTGTTGAAAACCAAATCTTCCTCCGCTCGTCACTGCCGACGAGGAAAGAGGCAGGTCAGCAGTTGGACATGTCGGATTGATCAATTTCATCAATACAAAACGATAAGAATCATCCAATAAAGTTTGAAGAATTTATCGACTTTGGCAAGGTTCCTTAGGTAGCCCCACTTTCAGGGGTCATCTAACCGAGCTTAGGCTCTAAGCCACCTCCAGCTTAGCTTTATCGTCAAATGGAAATATGGGGAACAACATGGCTGAATTAATGACATCTCTTCTAGGATTTATCAAGCCAAATACACGATTTAATAGACAAATTGGCTAGATCGGGCATTTCCTGAGTTCAACGATTCTTCGCAGCAATTCCAAGGAGAGAAAGGTACGGTACGGGAAGACTTCAATCTATTAAATTCAGGAAGTTAATCAGCGAAAAATATGGAAGGATTCGACCCACGGAAGAAATTAAGCCACCATGCCTCCCGATAGGCTATGAAATTCAATTCATCGCACCACATCTTCAGTCGCTGGCTTGAGATCCAAACCCCGCAGTCATTCTCGGCGTATCCCTCGCCACGGGTGTTGTTTTATTTGTGCTGAAAGATCACGAGTTATCGCTTTGGAAACCATTGTGCTACACTCCAGGAATTTATAAATCGCAACGTTGTCCGAATGATTCATTTGCAGAAATCAAAGTTTCCAAAAAAATGCCTGCTCTCTCATCAATCATTTTTGCGGTCCAGGGCTGTTTCAATTTCCTGAATGGAGCCGCCCCTCTCTTATCTTCTACAGTCGCAAGAAAAAATGCCGAAATGTTGCTGACGGACTCGAAACATGCTATTCATGTTTTAGCTCTATCATGTCTTTCAATAGGGTAAGAATATTGAAACCTTCTTAGTTATATTTGAGTCTCGAAATTCTAGTGCTACGCTAATCAAAGCTATACGTCATAGCTCGCTCTACATCGTCGCTGCAAAGAGAGGAGACAAGCTTGCCATGTGGCTGTCAGTTGTCGGACGGACGATTGCTGTTGGAATTTTTTGGGTTGACGCTGGACCGTGGAGAAAAGTCGCGGTTTTTGAGGGGCTATGTGCAGGTGTGCTTGCTGGGAGCTTGATTTGGGAGTCTCGAGATGGGAATCACGAGAAAAGGGATTGAAATTGAGGGATTCTGAATTTGAGACAATTCATATCAAACATGAGTTCTCTTCAGCCATGACTAGAGCATCAAAGTTCACGATACTCTCTGTTTGCTGCGATCTGTATTTTTGTGCATTCTGCAATACTAAAGATCCTGATCAGGGCCACTGAGTATAGTATCGTGAATTTTGACTTCGAGACTTCTCATAGAAGCTCCTATCTCTTTCGTGCTGGGAACAAGCTCTCAGCAGAACCGTTATCAAAGAATCACTCAAGCATGGTGGGCTCGAGGTCTTCCACAATACCCAAATGACCGGAACTCGGTGCCAGTGTAGGCAATAGTATTTCCCGTATTTCGTATACGAGCTAGTTTAGTAGTACATATCGATTTTTTTCGAAATATATACATACATAATATTGAATTCAATACTACTGAAGATATTCAATATTATTTAAACTTTCAATGTTATTAGTAATATATTGAAATATTGGAATTCAATGTAAAATATATATTTCTATTTATATTAGATAATAAAATTCCATTTCTTATTTCAAATCGAATTAAGATCTTTTATTTCTAATCTAATTTGGTATAGAATGGATAGTTTATATTGAATTCCAGTATTTCAGTATATTGCTAGTATTCTTTAGATATATAAATATATATGAGAGTGGTATAATCTCCTTTCTAAATATACTAGCTGCAATATTAATATATTAATACACGCCACAGTTTTATTGTAGTATATTATTGCCTACACTGCTAAGACTATCCTGTTTCTGAGAATCATGCAATCCTGGTATTTTAACAGTCCAGCAGAACTTTTGGTGCATGGTGATTGCGGATGTCTTATTGTCTACGAGAATCGCAGAATCTGGCGTAGGTGAGGCCATCGATGGAAGAGTGATCAGGGCGTACAGTAAGTTTCATGCATATTCATGAGGCTCCCCTCCACTTGAGCTACCGTATTACATTTTCCTCTCCTTCATGTGCAAGGAGAGTAATGTCAACTGCTCCATATGCTTTCCTAGATGTTTTTTGAATGCCGTAAGTCTTATGTACTTGTCCTTTGTTGCTTCGGCGATGTCCTTTTCCCAGTTATCGCAGAACGGACACGCCGTAGCAGAAACATCATTCACTGGTTCCTCACCTTGTAACACAAATGCTCTGAGTTGCGATCTTTTCTCATTGATCTGATGCTCTGATCTTAAATGATCTTCGTAGGCTGGTGAAGATGAGAATGGAGTATGCTGACACATCTTGCACACCCAATCTCTACGGTGGTTGCAGAGCTCGTGCGAAAACCACCGATCTAAAGTACCGAACATCTTCAACTCGCATTCTTTGAACGTACAGATGTAGGGTTTAAGATCTCTAAATAAGTGTTCCCTATATTCTTGTAAGCATTCTTTACACTAAATAAAAGTGGGAGATGGGTGTCTATACTTCCATGCAGCATGATCATTAGCTACCTGCTCCATGCGACAAGATAGGCATTGGAATGGAACACCATACTGGATGGGGATATTCTCGAATGCCCTCAATGTATGAGTTGAAACATTGGGCTTGTCCTCGCCGACTGTAATATCGTCGCAACTCATCAATTCCTTAGGGTAAGTTTCAATATGTTTGAGATATTGACGTCGTCTTGTCAATGCTTTTCCAAGACGGGTAATCAACCAATCGTCAACGCCACTGGCAAATTCGTATTGTTCTTTTATGAGACAAATATCAACATTGGGATCGAACTCAAGTTGATATATGGCCGCTGCAATGACATAGTCGTCTGCATTCGAGATTCTTCGAATGATCTTAGAAGCCCTGAACAAGCCTGTGTTTGCACTTTCCATTGCGCTCGACAGTTTTTGTAGTTCCGAGGATTCACCAGACTCCATAGTGATTCCCTCTTTGTCAGAGTCGCTAAGCTCTTCTAGAGGCCATGACTCGTTCGCTTTCTTTTGGGTGAAAATTAATCAGACTGGATGTCATTAGCCAGATTTATATTAACAATGGGCTTACATACCTTCATACAGAAATTTTTGGAGAGTTCCCAGAATCGTCATAACTGTGCGTTTCAACTCTGTACTATCTTTGATGCAAAACTCGCAGATCTTGCTCAATACATCATCTCTAAAGGTTGAAATACTGCAAGCCCATGCCTCAAATTGCCTGAATATACACTGCATACGTAGTAGGTATGAGACGCGATCATAACCCTGATTCTTAGCGTCGGGCGGGTTAAGGTCTTGAAGTACTTGAATAATGCATTCATAACGTGTCTTGCAATCCATGCAACGAAAATATATATTCCTTCATCTTTGTCAAGCAATGGAGCTTGCATTCCACTCTTCTCACTAGTTCTATAGGATGTCATGATTCGATTTTGTGGTCTCAAAGTCTTTATGACGAGTTGTTGTGGTATAATTCCAAGATATTCAGAAGTTACATCGTTGTGGATTTCATTAGGATTTATATGCAACATACGTACTGTATAAATCCGTTTCCACGAGATGCGCTAAGCCAATACAACATATCTACTGTATAAACTCGCTTATCTGAGACGCTCTAAGCTAGTCTTAATCTAGATTATTCATTCTATGTTTTATATTCCATATTCCAGGTAGAAGACTTTCCAACTCACAATTACCCAATCATGCGTTCAAGGATTGTTCTGTAAGGGAAAACGTTTGTTTTGGACTGATTAGACTCCCCTATGTCATGATGAGAGAATATTAAGAACAATCTTGAAAGATCAATATAACACATTGATTATCTGTTCCGTTTGCTCAAGAGCTGAACTTGGTGTGTGGACCAGGCCATATTCTACTTTAAGCTTCACTTTCTTCCATTTATTTTCTATCACGGACAGCAAAACCAGTAGAAGCAAAGACTTGTACATTATACGTATGTATCTATTAACTTTCCGAAGCTCGTCATTGTTGTACTTCAATACGGACCCCCCCCACAATACTCAAATCACCATCCCAACACCAAAAAGGGTGAAGATGGTTTCCTACTCACTCAATGACGATGTCCTCACACACATAAATGGCGAAATGTGGGCGAAAAATCGAGGAGTAGTCAATCCGGCAAATTTCTCTTGTAGATGAAAAAGGGCATGCAATGATCATGCATATGGGCGGAAATCTTTTATAAAGATATCGGGACTGTCCCGACCTGAATAGCCAAAAAATCTGTAGATTCAGATTTGTTTCAAATTTGAGACCATGACTTCTCTTAAGATACTAAGAAGACCTTGACCAGTTAAAAAGTTGAAATATCGACACTTTTTGATTCCGTGCCGATCCTTCGATTAGAGTTTCATATGGCCAACTTTCATACTAGGAGGCAAATCCTCCTCTTTAGTCCCCCAATCACTTTCCGTATCTCCTAAAAATAATTCCAATGTCTGTCCCTCGGTGAAGAATTCATGTCCACTGTGTCACATCAAATCAGCATTACTTTCCAAATTCCACGATTGGGGAACAACTCACATCCAATTCTTATTCCACAGCACTCCATCTACCTTCGCACTCTGTACAAAAACATTCCTCACACCTCCATCCCATCCAACGTTCTTGATCGTACTCTTTTTTCCATTCTCATTTGTGAAACTCAGAGATTCGAAAAAGGGCGGGATGATAAGATAGACATTTTGTCCAGGGTTGGGGAACAAACCCATCATTGAAAATGCAGCAAAGGAGGCCATGGCGCCGGTATCGTCGTTGCCAGGTAAACCAGTGGTTGAGGTATTGAAATATGCGGGTATGTACATATGGGCACGGGATGCTGAGAGAGCAGGACGACCGGCGTACTAGCGAGGGGTTAGCAGTGCATGTAACTGATAGAAGGGGGAGACGAGCGTGGTAAAGAAACACTGTCAAGAAAGAAGGTTCATTTCCGATGTCCGTTAAACCACTAGTATGCAGATAATCGAGACGAGCGATGAAGTTCTCTGGCCCACCAACTAGATCGATTAGAGTCGCGATATCATGCGGTACAAAACTATTCAGTTGTCAGTAGAGAACACCACACCAAAAGCGAAAATACCCACAATTGATACTCCCAAATACTATCCTCAAAAGTTTCCTGTGGATTACTTGTTAAACTGCAAAAGGAATCCAACGGACTACAAAGTATCGGATCCTGATACCCCCACGTCCCGTTTAAATATTTCGGCTGAAAGAATCCTGTAAATCCTGTATCTACACCATTAATAGACGAAGTTTGATCTTCTTTCCACAGATTCTGCCAATTTGTCGCGCGATGCAAGTATTTCGTATATTCGGGTTTCCCTAAACCTTTGCCGAGAGTCGAGATACAGAAATCGTTATACGAATACTCTAACGTCCTAGAAATACTTCTCGAGTTCGTGCCGAAACCCAAGTAATCATAATCGAGGTATGGTATATAGTTCAAGGCTTGCCATGACATGAGACCACCACGGCCTTCGTTGGACCATTCTAGTGGCTCGTTTTCTGCATCGTTTACCACAGCTTCATAAGCTAGTTGCCAGTCTATGCCTGTGACATTCTTCACGTATGCATCGGAGATAACATTGTCGGCGTTTGAACCACCTTGAGTAAACCCTTTACAGAGACTCATACGACAATCTGGAAGCCAGCCAAGGTTCTGGTAGGTTTCAAGGAGACTACGTATCATCTCTGATAAAGCAGATGGATCGACGATAGTGAGAAATGGGAGCTGAGATCTGAATGCATCCCATATACTGTTAAAACATTAGCACTTCCTCGTCCAACCTAACTAGCCTGACTTCTTACCAGTAGAAAGAATCAAAGTATGGTTCGCTACTTTCCCATAAGGGATTCTCCCCAGTATAGTTTTGCGGTGACATCATAGTCCTATAGATTGCACTATAGAAGTTGGTTAATAGTGAAGTATCACTACCATTACCAGGTTGTATAGTCACAACACTCAGTTTCTCCCTCCATGCGTTCTCGGCCGTCTCCTGCAGCCTAGCAAAGTCCCAATCAGTAATTTCACTTTCTGCATTCTGACAAGCTTTCTCCGAACTAATGAGACTCACGCCCACTCTAGCGCTAATAGTTCCATCACTTGGTGCTTGAAAGCGAACGAATCCTCCAGCTTGAATGTAGAAGAGATTTATGCCTCTTGTGACGAATAATTCCTTTGGTTGTGTTCCTGCTCTGTTGTTGACCCATATCCCAGTGTCCAGGATGCTTGCCCCGGAAAAGTCAACGCAAACGTATGACATGTATGAGTCACCACCGAAACTCGGAATGAAAGTCCCATTGGCTTTGATACGCCCATCGTCAGCCACGCTAATGGTTGCGTTCTGTCTACTCGCACTCAAATCCGTCAGATCCATGAGAATGAGCGGGCTTAAGGCCGTCCCATTGGAAGATTTTTCTACTGGAAAATTGAAGTGATAAAGAGCAGCATGCTCTGATACTGTCATCTCGGCATGAATGCCATTTGTTAGGTTTAATCCAAAATATCCTGGCGTGGCCAACACCGAATCCAGCACATATGGCGTAGCTCGATCTGTGATTAAGAATTTGCAGTTGTCAATCACATCATCGGGACAGTAGGATGGAAATAAGGGGAAGTTTCCCAGGGAAGGATTTCCCCCTGTACCAGAATCATGCATATGTGAGAACCCAGTTACATTGCTGCCATCCGTTGAGAATCCTGCGGTATTTTGGCCGTCAACATCAGCGACCGCTTTAGCCATTCCGTATGGAAGGGTGGCACCGGCAAAAACATTTCCACCATTGTCAGTGCCGATGAGTTGATTGACATACTGGAGCGGGTCGAATGTACTCGAAGTCAACGTTGTATTAATCGTGCTCCATTGAGCTATTGCAGGAGATGACAGCAAGAAGGCAATAGAAGCTTCCAAGTATTTTATAGGTTTCATATTGAAGAACAACGACAAACGATAAGACAAGCGTTCATGAAACTGTTGGTAAACGGGTGAAGACATGCCACTGTTATAGAGTTCAAGTATTTGTTTTCAACGAGGGGTTATCAACAACCACATTCGTATCCTTGATGCAGTGCTACATCAATCAATGCGAGAGCCTAGCAAGTGCATTGTGATGTCAAGACCTTCCTATAAAAGGCAGGAGTGACGGGAATCGAAGATCATCATTTGGATTGCAGGTGTAGCGTTTGACATGGATTGGCACGCACATAACATGTGATGTGTACAAGTACCTAATGATGCATCGAGAATGTGGTTTCATTCCCAAGGACCGCAAGAAAGGCTTTTATTAATCCCCCGGAACATGGGAATTGATTCGATAGCAACCCAGAAAGCAGGATTATATTCAAACGTTAATATCTAATCGCGTTCAAGAGGGATGCATGGCTCTAACTTAACGTTTTAGAGTCTGTGAAAAAAGCATCATGCCGAGGTTTTGCTGTAAGTTAATATTTCTTCAAGATTAGTTTTATATAGCGACATATTTCATTGATATCGTTCTCCGCAAGTAAAGTATAATTCAATGTTCTGATGCTAAGAAAAGATGAGAAATTCTGCTTCACTATTTCATCGATTGAGAAAAGATAAGAAGAGAAAAATATGCTCGTAAAAGAGGAGAAAAAGGAAAAGGTAGGTTCTAAAACAAGGTACGCCATACATATATACTTAGAGAATACAAAACCCCTCATCTACCTGCTATGTAGATACTCTGTATAAATTCATTGTTCCAAAAGAATCTCGAGAGCGGTGTCATGGCCCTCATAATTTCATCTCATTTACTGAACTCTTCATATTGCAACCAAAACCCATCCTCAGTCCAAACATCTTCCAGAATCAATCGCGAGCAATCCTATTTCTCAAATTGAACTGTTCAACATCTCAAACCGAGTATCAAATATTTGAAGTCGATATGGTTTCCTTATTATTAGTTTCGTCGATTCAGGTACATCCATCAGTGGCTTAGTAGTCTATCAATTGGTTGTCTCAAATCGTTGTAAAGTTTCGACCTGTGAATTATTCGAATTTTTGAGATCCTTTGATAGTGATGATAGTGAACGTCACAAAAATCGAGTATTGATATCAGGCATGAGTTTGAATATTGTCATATTTATGGATCTCTCTCCATACTGAGAAGCATAGAGATGGGAATACAGACTACGGAATATGGGCTGGGAAGTACATGGCATACAATATAATAAGGTATTGATGTGACATGAGACTACCCGACGTCAACTGCGGAAAATTGCTTTCAACAAGTCAAAGACTGATAAGTTTACAAAACTTTGTAAACAATTTCAATACTAATGATTGTAATTGAGCGTAAGATAGAAAAATCACAGGTTCAAAGATTTGATTCATTAAATTCAAAATGATACTTTTTCACGTCCACGTTAACCGTAATAACAAATGGGGTATAATGAAAAGCAAAGTGCTTCAGGACGAGCTTTTATTTATATGTGATACACCATATAGCCCAAACCCCGTAAAGATTTCCCATTCCCAGACCATGATGTAAATAATTTACTCGTCATCTTCTTCCTCATCGGCCTCAACGGTGGTTTGTGCGATACGGTCCAAATCACGTTGTCCGGATTGAGTGATACGACGACCTCCCTTCTCCTCATCTTGCTCCAAAACACCGATCTTCTCGAGGGATTGCAAAACGTGACGGTCAACAGATCCGGAGGCGTTAACGTGGTGGGATGGTCTGGAACCACGGTTCTTGGTTGAACCGTGGACCTTGGTGAGACGGCCGACACCGACGGTTTTGCGGAGGTAGATGTGACGGGCGTTGGCAGCAGCACGAACGTAGTACCAGTCGATAGATTGAGGTGGGAGCTCGTTGGATGCGCTGGTCTTGACGGTATCAACCCAACCTGCAGTAGAAAGTATCTTCGTTAGTGATTTGTAATTTTCAAGCGCATTTCTGCGCCAATGTAGTAATTAAGGATGGAGTGCATAAATCAGTACGTACCTGGAATTGGGAGCTTTCCTTGTCTCTTCAAGAAAGCAGCATATGCATCAATGAACTTTTGAGCCTGAATTAACCCGTCGAATCAGCATAATTCCGTCAGCGGAGATCTTTCGACCCCCTCACACCTGCTCATTTATCGACAAGAGAAGGTAGTTTGCGAAGTTTTGAAGATTGATCAAATGGGATGGTGTAAATGATTGATATTCCAATTCGCCGTCGCAAATCGAGATCTCAAGTTCATTCCTTTTCAATTTCACAGCTTGTAGAATTGTGTATACTTACGTCAACATCGCGAACAGTGACACCACCCATTTTTGCGGTATTTGGTAATATGTTCGAAGGGTTTGTCGATGAAGTTCTTTGGGCGGAAAGGAAATTGTCGTGGTTCGAAGTTTCGAAAAAAGATGTTGAAAATGAAAATTATCCAAAGTGCGGGCAACAAAATTACGCGAGGAGAGGCTTTACCAAAAATAGACTAGTTTCGAAATATCAGACCTTTCTTTCTCGGCTTCCCGATCCCATCCATCGTATCTCGTATGGACTTTGCTATGTTTATCCGAATCACCCGAGCCCGAAACTATAGTATAAATAAAGTTCGATAAAAAAATGAAGCTTAATTGATTGAATCGTGATAAGAAAAACTCGACATTGCATTAACCTTAATCTTAACATATGAACTTTAAAAGGTTGATTTGAACGATTAGATCAAATCCGGTCGTATCTGAGGCATAAATTCACAAGATCATGCCATCTAGAATCTAGAACGGGTTCGATTTCTTTGCCAATATTTTTTTCTTCAATATTCTGGCTTGAACTGATGCTTCAAGATGTACAAGTTGGATGGCGTGCTAAAACCCTATGCAATCGTTGCTCAGGGCCAAACGCAATGGCATTAAGTCTACTCGTAGCAATGAATTGTCGAACTTCCGAACGATTATCAAACCTAAAGAGTGGTATCGAATCTGGTCAACGTTCATTTCCAACTGCGATTTTCAAAAGCCCATGTTTCAAAGTTTTCATGAACATCGAATGTCTGAAATCTACCACCACGCAAGTTGTGTTACTGTTAAACACAGATCATGTGCTATTTTGTTATCATAGATAGAGATTGAGCTGTAATCATTATACCTGTTCTTTTGACATAAGTTTATATCTATCTAGTATCCAGAGCTCATGGATTCACTGGCCCATGAACTAGCTATAAGGAACAGCTCTTATCAATGTCTGAGTTCTATCATCTCGTTGAGCATTTTGGAATGTTTCACGTGTCGGAGAGTGAGGAAAGAATCGTCAAGTCATCCTATGATGTAGCCAGTGCATAAAATCTTTTTATATGTATACAGTTTCCGAATGTTCTAAAAATATTCGCTGAAGGGAAAATTATGTACAAAGTTCCTCAGCATCCATCTAGATGCAATTCCTTCAAGGGTACTGTCATGTGTCTGTGCAGATTCACATGCCTTATATCCTCATCCAAAGATTTATTTAAGCGATACGGAGTAGGCAGTCGTCTTGAAGACAGCATTGCTTCCTATTTCTCATTAGTTTTTCGCCAAATCAGATAACTTAGAGGGGGGGGGGGCCTTACCAGTGAATGGTTCGGTACCAGCTTGAATCGTCGTGAGATATTGGCTGGCTGGATATCCTTGGTTGGAGGTCAAGTATGTAAGGAATGTCTTCAAGTCACCAGAGAAGCTATTAACTGTGCTGGAAGCGACGAAGGAATAGACTCTTGTGGCACCGTTGAGTCCAGAGAAGAGTTTCCATGACACTCCGGCAATGGTTGGGGTTGCAATGGGCGTTGATCCGGTAGATGAAATTGGTCCTGCACCACCCTGAAAATCGTTAGTCTCCGCAGCCTAATCAAATTAAGAGAAGAAGTAATGGTAATGGAAAACTCACAAGAGCACTAAGCCAGATCATGATCTCATAGTTCGCGCTGCCAGTACCAGTAGTTGAGGAGAACAAATCGTAGGAAACGTCAGCAACGATGTTAGAGCCAGTATAACTAGAAAGGTTGACGATCAGCTAGGTTCATTGGACAGATGTGAAGTAACTAACCTCCATTTCCAAGTAGTTGGGATGGTCGAGATAGCAGAAACCTGCTTAGCTGCCATATTAAGCCCTACGTTTGCATAAGACTTGACTTGGGAAGATCCTCCCGCCCATGACCAACTAGTGGACCAGACAAGAGAATTGCTCGTGTCTGAAGTGACAGTTGAGCATTGAGAACCAGTAAAACCGGTAATGTTCCAGAGATTTTGGAAGACGGTATAAGTGCCAGTTGCAACAGTATCCCATTGGCCACACATTGTTGTAGCCCGCTTCTCAAGAGTAGGAGTAGGAGTAGGGGAGGCAACAGTAACTGTTGCCAGGACTAGAGAAACCAAGGACTGGGTGAACTTCATGGTGATAGGAGTGAAAGGTAAGAGAGTTAGAAGTGCGTGGAGTGTTGAATGAAGGGAATAGAGAGCGAGCAAGGCTTATATTTATATAGAATCCATCACAAGTATCATGGTACAAGCGCTCACTCGTGGAAACATTGAGCGGAATAATAGGGGGACATTGCCCAGGTAGACCCTGCGCTCAGTAGATTGATCAAACCTAAGAAAATCGCAATATGCAGTTATCTGCACGAGGACCAAGATTCTATTGTGGTACAGCTTCGGTATCTAAGGACCTTTGAATAAACTCCCTGATTTTCGGAGTATATCTAGGGTGGCTTGTGGCTGCTTGACAGCCAAGCCAAGATGCTCTCCACTTTTTTGCTAATGAACATTTGAAATTAGGCGATTTGTAATTATACAGAGTACAATAATGATCAAGAAACCATAATATAAAAAAAGATAACACTAAAATTAAAAATAGAACCCCCGGAAAACTCCTTGAAGATTGACTGACCCATTTACATCTATCCCATTCACTTATAAGTGGTTGAAAATCACATAATAATATTTTCGCATAATAATTTACAGTGTCCAAAAAACAATATTAATTGCTCAACTCAAATTGAGTTACGATTAAACTATTAATACGAAAGAATCTTCGAAGGAGGAAAACAAAAGTAGAAGAGTCAGAAAGGTTATTCAATTCACTAACCATTTGATGCCCGTTAAAATGGGTCTCATTCGGCACCCAGGGACCAGAAGGCTTGAAGCCGCACTTTGGCAATTCTGGCTAATATCGCAGGAAACGTGGATAAAGTCGTACAACCTTGAGAATTACAAGGGAGGAGATCTCATGACTTACCCCGGATTCTTCAAGAGAGGCGAATAGTGAAGATTATGCCTAAACTGGACTGACGTTTATGATGATGAATGATTCCCTTCGTGGTAAAATTCCTCCATGTCTGACAACTGCAGTAGTGCAAGAATATGAGACGACCCATTCTCGAATCCTTACATACTCGAGGGAGGTTGATTTGGCACAAAAATACATCTCGATGTTCACATATTCTAGTAAGCTGTACCAATAGAGCTTCTTAACGAAACCTAGTTCCATCCTGTCTGTCAAGCGATGTTCGCAGATCATGAACTCAGCGCGAAAGCAATCCGAAATATGTCCTCCAATTAAAATCTCAAAAAGAAGTTGTGCACTCGGGACCATGCTTAGATTATTTTCATAATTCTCTTCTTCGCTGTAGATTCAGTTGTACGGTGATAACCTGTTTAACTAATACGGCATTGTGCTCGAAATTGGAGTAAGCTGCTTTCAGGCGTTCAGTTGATCCAGAATCTAGATGATTTTGAGGGTTTGTTGAATTGCAAAAGATCAGAAATCAACTTGCATCATATGCAAAACATCAGACAAATGGTGGAAATGTAGAAGAATACTTTTCAGCTCAAAGAAATATCGACTTGATCTTACCTTACAGGAACCTACAAAGGGACCCCTTAAATACATCCAAGTTATCTGTAGTATGATAACATGTCGCCAATTACCTATTCGCTCGCTGCGCTCAACACTTGGTGTAGATGATGAATGTTGAGTTGGGTAATAGTGTCCCTTATGATATTAGGATTCGAATGTGCTCTGCTCTGTGGAATTGTCATCGAACAGAGAACGTGAATGTGGCATGAAAAGGCGGTGGGGTGCTCTTCATCAGGTGACATAACCCTGTTCACACGCTTGGGACTCTAGCGGCTCTGGTCTCCACACCTCACCCCAACTTCCCCTCGAGGAAATCATCAGATTCGATATCGTATTGCATCATAGAAACGCGATAACTTTCCTTTCATTAATTCTTAATTTGAAACATAGAAGAGAGTCGCGTCTCTGAATACATCAAATTGCCCAATAGAAACGGTCGATCGTATTAGATGGAAAAGATCAAAGAATCATTGATATCGCGCAGAGTACAGTGACCATTGCGACAAGTTGAATAATTTAGCAGAAGTACATCTTGCTGAGATTTCAACATCAACAATGGCGCCTGCGGCATCGATCGCTCAAGCGACTAACAAAGTCAAACGGCCTATGTCTATTCAAACAAACGGCATCAATTCATCGACTTCGTCTCCGTCCCCATCAATGTCCGCTGGAAGACTACCATCCGGTTCCAAAAATTCCCAAAACTCAGCTGCAACAAATGGCGCTGGAAACTCTTCGGGAGCTCGATCTGCGAATCGAAATCGCTCAGGGCACACACTTGGTCGAGGAATGAAGAATAATAGTGCAGGTATAAGATCTGGCAGTGTTGCAGAGGAATTCGTTATACAACAAGTTGCGCAATCACAACCATATGGTAAACCTCTTGTTACATTCAGTGGCTCGTACACATACTAAAATCTCCTAGTCAAAACTGAGCACTATATTCTTCACAAATACCGCAAAAGCCCCCCCTCTCTGATCATACACCTTTACGCGACGCATTTCCGATTCGATCAACAACAAAACAGTTTTTCCTACACTTCTCCAATGAGAGTACTCCTGGATCACCTCAGACAGAAAACCATACCTCATGAGTTGGTGGATTATTTTATACTGAACGAAGTAGCTTTCTACGAAGGTTGCATGATTGTCCAGATCCTCGATCACAAATCTGTTGCTCCCCAACAACCCTCATCTCAACCGAAGGAGGGAAGTAAGGAAGGCGTTTCGATTCATACACTCAGTAGTTATATTACACCATCTCCATATGCCTCGTACCCTCGACCCGACTTAGATAGAAGTAGATCGTCGAAAGAACAGAGTAACGATGGCTCCACGAAATCAAGAACATCTGCTCAGCAAGATAAGGAGAATATGCCTGCGCCGGGCACCTCGAACGATTCCCAGAAAAATAAAACAGTCCCTGCACCAGCAAAACTCAAAGTGACAACGTGCGTGCTGTTCCCAACACCTGTTAGTACCTATGTCGAAATTGCTCGTAATTCTACTGCACCTCATACACCAGATGTGGACAAGCGCCAAGAACGTTCCGAAGGAAGTACATCAGCTACATTAGCGCAACCACCTACACCACTTGGAGCTGTCCCGCCAACTCCCGGCTTGAATATGCCACCAGCCGCGAAAAGATTGAAACTGGCCAAATCTGAGTTCAATTGCGGCAATATATACGCAGCAGAAGCTCAGATTATCCTAGCCACTACAGCCCCCTTGGCTCTCGAGCCTGCAAACAGTGCAACAGAATGTTCACGGCTGCTAGAATCATTAGCTCATCCTATGCACTTGGAGAAGCCTCCTCAGCCCAAGTCCCGTAAAAGGACAGTCGCAGAAATGGCTGCTGATGAAGCGCTTGCTGCAGACGAACAACGCTATATGCTCATTTTGGACGAACAACGTTTTGCAACTGTTGCCCGGGGCGCCGGAGGTATTAATGTAGCTGATGGTGCTGGCCAGGCTGGTGGTGGATTCGAAGCCCGATTTGAGAAATTTAATGCTCTCACCAATATCAGAAAGGATATCGAAGACAAGAAAGCCTTGAAGAAGGCAGCGGAAGCAGAGGCACAGCGAAAGTCTAAGGCAGAGGAGGAGATTCAAAGGAAACAAGAGATAGCTGAAGCTCGACAAAAGGAGATAGAAAGACGTCAAAATTTGGCGGCAAGACAACAGGCGGCGCAGCAACAAGAAGCTCAGCGACGCGCCATAGCTCAACAGCAGCAGCAGCAGCAGCATTCACAGGGTTTGCAGGGTATGCCTCCTCAAACGCAAGGCCCCCATGCACATCCATCTCAACCCAATGGAATCGTCTCAAATGGTATGCAGGCGCAACGGTTCCACCCTCATCAAGGTACCCAGGCCCAAATGTCTTCACCAATCGTTCGAAATGGAACTCCGCACAGCCAGGCATCGCCGACAGTCAATAACGGTATCGGCAATAACCCAATGCAACACTCTACGTCGAGCATGGGTGGCAGTCCCCCTCGTCCAGGCTCTGTTGTTCACCAAAACCATCCTGCACCCATTGCAGCTCATGGTATGGTGGCTCAAAGAAGCCAGCAAAGCCATGCAGGAACACCTCGTATGCATAATGCGACTCCTAACATGCAATCCACTCCTTTGAATCGCGGACTCACACCAAGGATGAGCCAAGGGAGCCCACTGCAAGGCGTGATGGCCCAAGCACCTGGAATGGGCCAGATTGGAATGAATTCGGCTCAAATGCATGTTCAAGGTATAAATAGCATGTCGCCCGTCGAAACGCAACAATATTTGATGGCGTTACGAGCTCAACAACAGCAGCAGATGCAAGCTCAAAGTATGAGAGTAATGCCTAACGGACAGCAATTGACTCCTCATCAAATAATGCAGCACCAACAAATGAGGCAAATGCAGATGCAAGCGAATGCTAATAACCCCAACCATCAATTGGCTCAAAATTATCAGAATCAATTAGCTGCTATGCGACAAGCTGGCATGCCTCAGAATATGAACATGAATCAACAGTTCATGGGGAACAACATGAACATGCAGAATATGCAGGGCATGGCATTACAGCAGCAAATGCAACAACAGCAGCAACAACAACAATTACAAATGCAGCAGCAGCAACAACAACAACACCCCCAGCAGCAGCAACAAATGAACCCACAGATCGCCATGGCACAACAATATATGCACGCTAACCCGATGCAAACCCATCAGCAGATGGCCGCTGTATATAAGCAACTTTACAATAGAGAGATGGCATCTGGCGCACATCCTCAAGGCCTACCAGACCTCTTGAAAAAGAAATTACAAATGCAAGCCCAGAACATAGTACTCCAAAACTTCAAAGCGAAGATGCAAGCGGGTGGGCAGCAAGGATTCCCGCCAGGTATGCAGATGCAAAATGGTATGGGTATGGCAAGACAACCAGGCATGTAGGAGGTGTATTGTACAGGTGTATTATTATGGGTAAATTCGCGTTTGACCTGATCAAGGAGTTTGAGTTGAGTGCAGAAAGGGCACTACTTTGGTTTGGGCAGGCGCATTTTAGGGATGAACATCACGGGGCACACGATTGTACATATTACTCTGGTTTGAAGATTGGAAAGAATAAGGCGATACAGGGGGATTGGCTAGGTTCGATAAAGGATTGGCGCAGCTGTATTCCAGGGATTTGAAGGGATTATTATTTCTCGTTATATGGACAGTTATCTAGGTACTACTAGAACAAGATAGTTCATGACTCACTATCAAAAACATTCAACGCCTTCATGAAAACCATAAGCTTTCTTTCCGAATCAATCCCCTTCCTGTTATACATCAAGACATCACATATGTCTGATCCAAAAAAAATGCTATACTTGTACGTTGAGCTCATTTCAAAGATTGCTTTTTTGTGCCTCCCTGTGTTCTTTCTCCATCCTCCTCCATTCATCGTCACTTCCTGTCCATTTGGGTTCTTCCACACAAAATGCTTCTCCCCATTCTAACCTCTGCTCTCTTCCCTTCCACACATCCTCACTGCTCTTCCCTAACTCTCTATTTTTATCATTAGGATCTCCATATTTTCTCTTCTCCTTTTCAATCCATCGTGCCTTGATCAGTTTGGCCTTTTCATTATCGGCATACGTTCTCGTTTTCATACAAAACCAAAAGTCAGACCATGACTCGCTACAATCTCGTGCGGAGCCATATCGATATAAATTATTAAACTGGCCGCCAAAAGACTGACAATAGAACGCTGCATCGAAGGCTGTGCGGCAAGACATGGTTGTGGGAAGGAGTTGGATAGAGAGCGGCTCCGAAGAATCGCTTTGGGCAGGAGCTTGAGTGGAGGGTTGAGAATGGGAAGGCTCTGCTGGAGGTATCCGGGGTACACAGTTATATTTTGTACTAGAAGAATGGGTGTCGGCCTCCAATTCCCGGAGAAAGGAATTCAGTTCTTGGTCTGCAATTTCATCGCGAGAGAGAGTTTTTGTTTGAGGTTTGGTTGCGGAAGATTGGGGAGACGAGACTGGGTCGTTTGAATCTAAGGAAGCTGGTTTCTCCGCAGAGGGAGCAGATGATGAAAACCAGCCCATTGTGTAGGTTGATGTCGTTGCAAATTTTGTCTTTCGAGGACTACGAGGCTGAAGGTTGTGGATCTTGAAAACAAAATTCAAACACGCGGGGAAATTCCTACCGATTTTCACGTGACAAGGCTATCAGTTCTTTTCGAGATATGACGACACTGCTTCCCGCCTTTTGTTTGGCTTGATTTGAGCCTTCTTCCAACTAACGCTCGACGGAACTTCATTTCTTTCTCCCGAATTCTGTCACTGAATAAATAAATAAATAATACTACAAACCATGAAGGTATATTTTCAGAGGTAGGCGCAAATATGAACAGGCGCATCTTGTTCAACCCTACGAGCGTGCCGGCGTTACGTACCCCGCGCTCTCCCAGGCCTCAAACGCGTGCTTTTGGCAATGTCGGGAATTTTGCTAGAGTCGGCCTGAAAGAACTGAAGTATGATAGATTGAAGGGCATGAAAGGTGTAAGGAGAGAGAGTACGCAAATTGGAGAGAATGAAAGTGGGCATATTACTGCTGGAACTAATGAGGGAATCCTGTTCTTGGATAGTGAGTTCTCATACTTCTTGATAGGATCATAAGTTCAAAACAGCTCACTAATGTTCTTTTTTGAAGATATTTTTCCAATAAAGCTCGGATGGCTTCTTCGAATACCTTGGTACGGAAGAATGGATTCAGGCCTACCAGATATTCTTTATCGGTTCAATAATAAAGTGTTTTCCAAATACGATCCTCTGAGTTTAGTGGAGCGTGCGATACCCTCCAGCGTCCCTTTAAAAGTGACAGAGATTCTACCCCGACTTAAGGAGGGGGGCGCGTTCATCAAGTTCTCACACGATCGCAGCATAACGGCTCAGGAAATAGAAGCGCTTATCTCAGGATATTTGAAGGAGAAGCCAATCAAGCCTTGGTTCAACCCCTTTCGACAAATGCGAGCAAAACTTGTACGCGGCAAACCATGGCTCGAGGATTTGTACAGATTCCCAAGCACTCGAATCCGCGTTGAATTTGTGCCTTCTACCCCTGGCGGCGAAGTAGCCGAACTTTCACAAGAGGTTATTTACAGCTTGTTCCGGAAATATGGAAAAATTGCAGAGATATCTTCACAGCCGTCGGATTCCAAAGTTCTCCCAAAGTTTGCTATGCTTGATTTTGCTAATATTAGGCACTCGATCATGGCTAGAAATTGCTTGCATGGCTTAAAAGTTACTGAGGAACTGGGTGGTGGAAAATCTGGCACCATACTTCGACTGTCATTTGAGGCTAAGATGCAAGCCCATCATATCAGAGAATGGCTTACCAGTCACCCACGTGTCGTTATTCCAGCTGTAGCCGCTATCCTTGCTACTGTAACCGTCGCGGTTTTTGATCCAATTCGAACCTTTTTTATCAAGGCACATATCGATCATGCTTTCAGTCTGAAGGACAATAAGATCTATGCATGGTTCGCAAGTCAAGCAAAGGACGTTTTCTCTTTCCGTGTGCACAAAGCAGAAGAAGCAAGCCTTAGTGCCATTTGGGATGATAGAAAGCAAGCCATTGAAGATTTACAAACTTGGCTTATGGAGACTGCCGATACTTTTATCGTTGTACAGGGTCCAAGAGGATCAGGCAAGAAAGAGCTCATCATTGATCAAGCTCTTAAAGGTCGACCAAATACTTTACTTATAGATTGCAAACCTATCCAGGAAGCAAGGGGCGACTCGGCCACTATTGCGGCAGCCGCTGCCACCGTTGGATATCGTCCGGTTTTCTCCTGGATGAACAGTTTTAGTAGTTTGATAGATTTGGCTGCACAGGGTACAATTGGCGTTAAATCTGGATTCTCAGAAACCTTGGACTCACAGCTTGCCAAAATTTGGCAAAACACTGCAACTGCTCTAAAACAGGTGGCCTTACAAAACCGAAAGAAAGATGATAAGGACGCCAATTTGGCCGACGATGATTGGCTTGAAGCACATCCAGAGCACAGACCTGTGGTCGTCATTGACAATTTTCTACACAAGAATGAGGACAGTAGCATTGTTTATGATAAGATCTCGGAATGGGCAGCTGGTCTCACTACTTCTAATATTGCTCATGTCATTTTCTTAACAAATGATATCTCTTACTCTAAGTCCTTGAGTAAAGCGCTTCCAGATCGAGTTTTCAGACAGATAGCGCTCGGTGATATCACACCACAAGTAGCCAAGAAATTCGTCATCAGTCATCTAGAAAATGATCCAGAAAACCCTAAAGACAACACGGAGAAGCTTTCAGAATCTCAACGTCGAGAAGATCTTTCAGAACTGGATGAGTGCATCGAAGTCCTGGGAGGCCGACTGACGGATTTAGAATTCTTGGCACGTCGACTGAAAACTGGACAAACTCCGAAACGCGCCGTAGCTGAGATTGTCGAGCAAAGCGCCTCAGAGATCATGAAAATGTATCTATTATCTGCTGAGAAGGGAGATCGGAAATGGTCAGTCGAGCAAGCATGGTACCTGGTCAACTCTCTTGCTGAGAACGATACTCTACGATATAATCAGGTCTTGCTCTCTGATACATTCAAGTCATCCCTTATGTCGTCGGCATCAAACGGAGAGAATGTTCTCGAAGCACTCTCCGCAGCGGAATTAATCACAATCAAGACCTTCAAAGGTCGTCCACAAAGTATTAAAGCTGGGAAACCAGTGTATCAAGCTGCCTTCAAGATGTTAAGCGAGGATCGCGTATTACGAAGCAGACTTGACTTGGCAGTTCTTACCGAGCTAACTAAGATCGAGACGAAGAGTATTGATAAGTATGAGAATGAATTAGTCATGCTCGGTACTTTACCTAAGCAGCCTCATGAGGTTGGTCCTCGTATCCAATATCTGTTGGACAAATTAGCGGCGAGTCAAAGAAAGGTTGAGGCTTGGGAAAAGGAAATGGGATCTTTGAAGAAAGTTTTGATGGTCGAATATTGAGATAAAAGAGCATCATATCTAGTATATACCCAACTCAATTAATGTATAAGTTTGTCAATTTCAATTTGAATTGTGGTCTAACATCTTGGTGATAAGTTAGACTACAAAATGTTCTAATGTTTGAGCATGGGATCTATATAACTGGCTAATTTTAATGACTATCCGCGATATGGCATGCATCTCAATCATGTCCTTCATAATCAGCTTCTCGCCACTGATGATCCTATTCTCAGCTTGATAGTTTGAATATAGCCGGTGACAAGCACCCACTGTACCAGTTACATGGTTGAATATTCGCATGGTTCCATTCCTTTAAATCACTTTGCTTGAATTTGATTCACTGGTTCGAGATCACATCAGAAATCAAAGATCAATCAAGGACATTTATTGAGGGTTTTTTGTCAGGTCTACTCCATTAGAGGATCACTTCAAATTATTGAATGTGTTTTGTCATACAATTTCGGAAATTCTCATCACAATGGTTGCAATGGTACCGTAATGTGATTTAGAGCTGAGCTTGGATTGGAAACTGTTAGATATGTGTAGGCAGAGAATATGACTACTAGTGATGGTACTAAATTCACATAGTACTTTGACTGGCTACAGCCTGTTATTCACCTGAATGAACATACCACTTATGTAACTTTGCAATACAAGTAACAAGCGAACACTACTAGCGGGGCCTTAGCGAGGCAGCTTTGCACTTGTATTCCCCCTCCTTTCCTTTAAAGTCGCCCATCTTCTCAGTTCAGAATAATTTAAATCATCAACTCTTTACAATACCAAAACATTCACAGACTTCAAACAAACATTCAAAGACGTCAAAAAAACAATACATTCTATCTTAAATCAGCAGTAATGGCTTCCCAAGTCAAATTCCTCGTCGCCTTGTGCTTCATTCTCATCAACGTTTTGGTTAATGTCCAAGGCTACGAATTTACCATTGGTCCTCATGCCGATGTTGATATCACAAAGGTAAGCTAAACCTAGCTAATTAATCATTTGAGCTAGCTAACAAGCCTAGTTTGAGGCCACAATCACTGTCCCTCCATTCTCTAAAGTCGGCATACATAAATTCGGAGCAGGTTGCACCAATCAAGCTCACAGTTATGCTCATGAGAATCGTCTCAGCGATCACAACCCTGGTAAATGGGAAGTGGATATGATGCAGTATGTATTTCTGGCGTTGCACATGACATTAGGAAATTAACTGGTAGCTTTGTAGTGGTACTGGTGGTATTGCCACAGACAACAACATTTTGCCAGGCGATAAGATTCACAATACTATTGAGTATGGTACCGACACTCATGTTTCTATCAACAATGTCACTATCTTACCTGGTCCCCAAAGCATCAGCGCCGGTCAGAAGACAAGAACAAAGACTGATGTCGTAAACATTCGTAAGTGGCCTTCCAAATATGCTAGCATGTAATGTTACTAATCTGAAAACAGCACAAGAGGTTCCCACTGCTGGAAAGTTGAACATTGTAAGTTTGATTAGACCCTGTTCTTCAGATGACCAGCTACTAATTTAATACCACAGGTGAGACTTTACTTCCGTCCAAGTGCTGGCGGTGTTTGGGATTTTGGACCAATTGTCTGGGAGAATGTTATCATCACTTCTCGAACAACTGATTCCTCGTGGTGCAGTGACAGGTAAGTTTTTTAATCCCTATATTCACGATCCGGGACTAACATATCGATAATCTAGCTGGAAAATCAGTGATGATCTTAAGATCACTGGTGGTAACAAGTTTTGGGGAGAAGGGGACCAAACAATGTGCCAGTATGATCGTATGACATGGGAGCCTTCTAAAAAAGACAATTGATTCGCGGGTAGTAGTACGGTACAAAACATGGTGAAGGTGATCTGGACTTACGGGATAGGCAATATTCATCTCGTGGGATATTCTGGTCAAGAGCTCCTTGAATTTTGTATCAGCGTATTATATTTGATATCTTGAGGGATACTTAAGTCGGACGAAGAAAAATACAATGACGCGCTCATTTAAAATGTGGTGTCTCCATACTATAATGAAATTGGTGATCTGATTTTGCAAACCTCTGTTTATATACATATATTCTCGGCTCTAACTCAACATCTGGACTTCATCGAAACCTCCCTACCCTGATCATCCTAGCTCCCATCTCAAACTTACTGATATTGCAACATGCATTGCATTGGTAGATATCTGACACGTGTATACCAACTAATTTCATCCAGTTTTCCAGATATCCTTCCAGTCAAATGTGAGGATGCCCGTTCAAACTCTTGTAGTACCAACATTATTTTGCTAACTAGTCACTACTATTCGATTCCTTAATGACCAGTTGAAGTGTTTGATTTACGTAAGGAGCACGTGCAAAACTACGCTACTTGTCTCAACAACATGTATCTTCCACTTCTCATAATTTTGACTTTTTGCTCATTTTCTTATATAATGCGAAAGTCTGATGTGTACATGACTTTCAAAGACTCAGCCTGCGCTTGCCATGGTCACAATGATTCTTATGTGTCCAAATTTAGTCTACTCAAGCCAGAACTCCTGCCCCTCGTTATCACCAGCTTGATATGCTTCTAGTATCTCACCTCCCATGATACCTTCAACGTAACTGTCATCAAACGTTAGTTCTTTTTCTTTGAATAAAAAAGGACAATCTCACCAATCTCCAACAAGCTTGTAACTTTCTCCTAGTGGTCCAAGTTCAGCTTGTACGTAATCAACTTAGATTTTCCGAAGCAAAAACGGTACAATGCTGCCAAATAATACGGCCACTAAATCACCTCTTCTAACACTCTCCGGGCCAAGACAATTGACAAATCGTCGGCAATTAAATGCCACAGTTCTTTCCCTCGAGCTTTCCCAATATATATTTTGAGAAAGCCGCAGTCCTAGGTCACAATTTTCAACGGAGTCAATGACAACACCCCACACTTTCAGAGTCTCGAGGTTGCTAGAGAACGTAAATGGGTGGTCGTCCAGAATATACTTGCCTCCAGCATTATATGCTTGTGATGCATCGTGTGAGTCCTGCAGTGTGCTTCGCTGTATGGCATCACTAGATTCATGGGCGATTGGTCGACGAAGCGCATATAAATCTAGGGCCCATGATGACAGATTCTCAGAATTGTCGGCTGCATAGGAACTCTCAAGTATAGTGAGATTTTGATACTTTTTTAGAACATACACTGTTAGTTTGTGGGCCATGTCCGCTGAAGAAAGACTATAATCCGGAGTTAACAGAGGATCCAATCGCTTTTTATCGCCCAGTAGACTCAAGAGCGCATATAGTTTATCTCGATAGTCGGAAGAAATATGCTTTCTGGACAAAAAAAGTAAGGTCGCGAGTTCGAGTTCCATCCTACCATTCTTTCTATACCAATCTCGAAGAGTTTGAAGGGCGATCACGGCATCCCACGCGGCATCGTCTACTTTGGAAAAATCATTTGAAAATAGACGGGTTAGCTGGAACTCAGGTTCTAGCCTTTTGCGACGCAACTCTCGTAGGTCGTGCCAATGATCAAATGATGAAGTGCAGTGGCCACACATTACTGTTATTTTTTTTGCCACAACCGACTCTTGTATCATCAATGCTCTAGACCATAGACTTCGTCTGAATAAGGCATCTAATGGTCCCCAAGTCTCCCAGTAAGGAGTTACACTCACGTCCAGTGAATTCTCCATGTTCAGCACGCTCATGGCTTTAGCTTCGCTAGTCATCATCTCTGAGCTATTTCTCGACTCGCCAAGCCACATTATGACTTCTTCAGCTTGACTGTAGATTCGTGCCATTAACCTCACCTGAAAGTTGCGCTCTTCAAAATTCTGCATATCGACACAAATTGCATATATCCAGAGCATACGAGGCTCAGTTTTCTCTCTCAAATGTACTAAAGCAGAGTGTAGATTTGGCATCAGATGTAGAGAAAATCCATTGCGGTATACTTTCTGCACTGGCATTTCCTCATCATATGTACCCCATGCGTATGTTAAACCGACATAATCTGAATTGTTATCAAGCGAATCATTACATATGCCGCACCTGAGCGGCGAGTGAGGATCGCTGGATGGGTACAGAATTACAAGCCTAGTAGCGTCTGGACAGTGTCCTGGAATCGTTTTGTAAGGTATTTGCTGGGGATCAATGCTTCTCTCAGATACACCAGACTCGTCAAACGGGAATTCTAAATCTTTAAGGGTAACTAGAAGCTCCGTGAACATCTTTGGAGTGAATGTCGCCGTAAAGCTTCTCAAGCGCGCGGCCTCCATAGATACAACCTCAGAGCGTCGTCTGTAGAGGATGGGGTTCACAATGCTATTGTGCAAACGCAAAGAATCCGCCGTAGTCCGTGCTTTTAAATCACAAGAATCTGTGGGCGCTGTGATATGCATGGACCAAGAATACCAGCAATACTCTCGTAAACAAAAAGCAGCTGTGCGGCCATCTTTATTCTTGAAGCAATGGAGGAGATAAGCGAGACAGGCTTGTGCCATTGTTTGATGCTCCTTGTATATATTCGTAAAACGAAGTAGTCCAGGGGGGCGACTAATATCGTGAGTTGGGCACAGATATTCTTGGACCGAGAAGTGAGCAATGCTAAGTATATGAACTCCCCGAGGCACACTTTTCACACCATCTGCTAGTGGTGGTTCTAATTCCACCAAACCAGGGAGGTTTTCCACAATTTCGAGAGCACGACGACGGTTTCCGATACAAGGTAGTCCATTTATGGATAGTCGAATGGTGCAAACTTCCACGATCTCCTCCACAAATAACGGCCGAGCCGCAAATATGAGCCATTTCAATACCGTCTCGAGTTCTGATAGCAAGCCTTTTGGTATACGTTCTATGATCAGATCATAAAAGGTGTCCAGATCTCTGGGTAATGAGTCAAAGATAAATTCAAGATCTTCCTTATGAACTTCTGTCAAATGCCGAGTGAGAAGCTCAAGTTCCTTCATCTGCAGTGCTGAAAGTCGAAACCTGTACCTATTAATACATTTGTAGGAAAACAATGGCGACAAGCGAGAACTTACATTCCCTTAGAGCCTTGACTAATTCTTCGAGAGATCAGAGTCTTGATATCGAGAGATTGAGAGCTGAGAGTACTATGACTGGAGATTCGTGCCTGAACAAATTTCTCAATGTCAAGGGTTACGTGTGTGACATCTCGCATGAGCCATCTCCATCCGCCCTTAGAGAAGGATGCTTTTAAATCACCCTCCTCGCGGCTCACGATGACAATTCTGAAGTTCTGATCTTGGATCGAGGACAAAGTCTTAATAACCTTGAGATAACCATCCCGTGGCTTTACAGGGGGTACCTCATCCAATCCATCAATGACCAAAGTAATGCTCCGACAGGCTTCAGTCTGTTCTGAGTTTGTGAAGGTGGCGGAGGAGCTTTTGAGTGAGCTAATGATTGACAGAAGCGATGCTGTTAGCTGGACTGTCGAAGGGGGATATGGCTTACAATTCTCATATAGCCGTTTCAATTCAGGCACAATTCCGTACTTTTCGCAATGACTGATCTTTGAAAATTGTTAACATCGAAGGTAGAATCGTCGCTGAATGAGCAGTAATAAAAGGCGACTAAGTGAGCATCTTTTGAAGTCGCTTCTGGAGAGGTAATCCTCAAGATATTTGGGATATTCTCAATCAGATGCGAGCTGCAATTATTAGTGTTTTCTCTTGCTTTGAGACACCAAATTTAAGTAATCACCATATCATAGTTTTTCCGGACCCAACTATTTGTTATCGTCAGCACTTCGTATTCCCTTCATTGATCAGAATTGGATCGAATGGTTGAGATGAACATTGGATGAGTACAATCTGAAATGGCAGAACAATATAAACCTAGTGTTTAAAACTATTTTGAACGTCTACCTTCCAATTGTTGTGCTAGCTTGAACAATTCAAAGGTCCGTTTGATCCAAACAATCGGGATATGTAAGATTTTGAATATCGATGAGTTTTTTACGAAGCTGGGTGAACGTACCTTGTCCTCTCAACCATAGAAATTTCTTGTTCGAAGACGCCCATTCTTTGAAATCACCGTTGAGAAAGTCTTCCCCTGTATCATCTGCTCGGTCTTCACAATACCTAGTATGCTCTTTGTATTGAGAGATTCTCCGATCTTCTGGATCGAGCCACTTCAAGATCTCGTCTCTTTTCGGCACTGGTAACCAAACGTCAGCGATTCTGGACATTTCAATATTTGAGCTTGGGGATAGTTACCTGCTGCTTCATTTGTTATGTTTATTCCAACGAAGATGCGTGAGCCTGCTCCAGCATTAATGGGGCCTATATCTTGTGTGATATTATGACGATCTTTAGATCCGGTTTGTCCATAATTCATGAGTCCATTCGGTAATACCCCCTGAGAGTCCATAGCAGCGTCGACGTCTGTTTACGTGAGTCTGTAGAAAATTCTATCAAATGCGTCTTTGGGATTAAACACAGACTTTATTCTATGATCGAGTCTCTGGGATCTCTAAATATAGTTCAGAACGCCATGCTGACATCCTAAAGCATGTGCGATAGGCTGCAGTGGCGAGTTCGCAAAATCCTTGTATTCAGCTCTCAGCCGCTATCTGAACATTACTTGTACGTCATACAAACTCACAATTCATTCCATTTACTCGATTTACCGTGATAATCCCTCAAACCATCGAACCTCAAAGAATGGCAGACGTCCTTGCTACCGGAAGCGCAGTTGTTGGTATTATTGTTGCTGCTTTCCATAGTGCCAGGCTCCTGCATGATGATTTCAGTGCTGTAAGAGATGCGGGGGAGACCATCAAGCCTCTTGTCGATGATCTCAATTCTGTTGTCGGTGTACTTTCATCCCTAGATGCTACTGCGAAAAGAAGCGATCAAGTCCAAGGAGTTCCAAGCGAGATTGACAATGACAATTTCAAGGCGGCGGCTAAAAATTGCAACAAGATTTGCACGGCATTTCGAGAAAAATTGGTCAAGTGGATAAGACATCCATCAAATAATAAAATGGATTGGAGAGATAGGTTCAGGGTTGGATTTCTGGCTGAGAAGGAACTTTTGGAGTTCAACAGACAATTGGTAGCATGCAAAGGGACGCTCACAATTGCACTGCAAATGGCAACATTGTAAGTAAAGAACATCCATTTTTAAATCTGCTTATTGACTACAATTTGATTCTCAAACTCTAGTTCGGTCGCTTTACGACAGACCCATAACACTGAATCAGTTATCGAAAATTTAAACGATACTAACAAGAGGATAAATCAAGCGGGTCATGTTGTTATAGATCGCATCGACAACCTTGAGTATCAATTGCAAAGGGTTACAGTTGAAGAAGTCTCTATACCAGAGGAAGATGGAAGTCAAGTCTTATCACACTCGCCAGATGGACCAGAAAGCCAGGCTGTGCTTGAATCAACCAACGAAACATCACAATTTCTACCGCAGCCATCTCCACAAGAGATGATGGATATCTTCGAGAAAACATGGAAAGCGGCACTAGCAGAAGTTGCATCCCACCGAATCAAGATTGGTAAAGTGACTCAAGCCTCCAACGCAAAAGCAGTTGTAGGTGTTCACGGACTGAAAAACGTCAACGAAATGAATGTGGAGATAGACGACGTTTCCATAGGACAGGGAGCTTGGTCGCTTGTAGGGGTCTCAGATGGTGTTGATTTGAATGCATTCTTTAAATAATCTAATTGTAGAGGAGGTTACTGGAATTTGCCATCTGCTTAACGTCCATGTTGGAACAGGGAAAAAGTGAAAGGAGGTATTCAGACGAGTCCGTCCCTATGCTTGAAGCCCAGGTTAATTCAGTGGAGATTTCATCAGTGAACCTCACACGCAAGAACAGATATAAAAATAAATCAGGATCAATATCAAGAAAACTTCCTTAACTAGCTATCTCTCTGAGTGATAGCCCAATTCAATATCCTCATAATTATTTCACAAATTCGTTACATGAACTGTTTCCCTCTCCTTCTACATTTCCATCATAGTCGAAAAGTGGCAACCTCAAGTCCGCAGGTGTTTAAATAAGCCGGACAAACAATCGATATATTGGTACTTATACTCAAGGCGTAACAATATTGAAATCAGCAGTCGGCAATTTGATCAAGGCTGTGATCTTAGTCCAAGCATCTACGTCTCCAGCAGTGCTGAGGGCGATATATGGGTTATCCACGATAACTGGATTTCTTCCCAGAGCCGTTGCTCCAACTAACCTTGCGAGATTGACATGATCTAACCAGATAGTCAAATCACTGCCCGGATTTGGCTTCTCCGAAGAAACTACGTATGGAATGGCATGGCCCGTTATGGCAGCATTACTCAATCTCAAGTGCCAACCGGCGCTCGGCTTATTATTTTGTTGGATATCGGAAACCATGAAATCGATGGTGATTTCTTTCTTTAAATACACTTCGGGTTTCTTGAAAGCGGCGGATCCTTCAATCTTGATGGCGATTGTGTCGAATAGCTCGTCGAAACTCAAGTTCAACAATGCTTCAGGTGACATGGCAAGATCCACTTTCTGCGACCCAAACTGCAATTCATAAGCACCCGTTGAATAGAAATTACGCCAGGTGGCGTTTTCGGAGCCCCATCCTAGAGTATTGTATACAGATGCCAGCGTTGCCATTGCTTGCTTTGCAATATCACTATCCTTTTCAACCGAACTCTGAGTTTTAAATACGAGTTTATCCAAAAGTGTAGCTGCAAATCGAAGATTTTTATTCCTAATATATTCGTTGGCCATGTCAAGAACGGCTTGATTTCCACCCATACATTTGACAAACTAGGTCGCCTCATCTGTAGGTGGGAGTGGCCAGAGATAAGCTGGATTTCCATTGAACCAACCCGTGTATTTGTCATAAACACCTTTTACATTGTGGTTGATCGAACCATAATAGCCTTGGAGATGCGTTTTCGCACTCAAGTTAGGAGGCATCTGAATATTCTCTGCGATCTCCAAAGGTGTTTGCCCATCATTGATCTGTTGAAGCGATTCATTATGAAGATAGGCGTAGTAATCTCGGTGCTCCGATGAAAATTGGAGAACTAAATTTTCATCGTCATTCCAGGTTGGCCAATGGTGACTAGCAAATACCACATCTGTCTTATCGCCAAACAGAGTGATTGACTCATCCAGGTATCGCGACCAAAGTCGGCCATCGCGCACTGGAGCTCCTCGGAGAGTCTGAATATTGTGTAGAGTATGCGTAGCATTTTCTGCCGCACACAAAGCCTTATAGTCGGGAAGGTACTAGTTTACTTCAGCAGGCGTTTCAGTTCCTGGGGTCAGTTGGCATATGATCTGTAGGCCTTCAATACCATCTAAAAGATCGCCATTTTGGGTGATGTAGTAAGTTGGTGCCACGAGTGAGATTTTACCGGTAGATGTGCACTGTCAAAGCCCACAACCAATTTGTCCAGCAGGAGATTTAGGTAATTTCATACCGTACATGTAGATTGATCGACGAGACATCGCCGCCCCGGCATATACATTCTCACTAACAAGGTGCACAAGCCTCTGTGATCCGCCCTGCAGTTCAAGTAGTGGGATATGCTCAACCCCTTGCATAGGATTAGAGCGCTGATTTGATATTCAGTCCAACTGAGATGATTGGTTACCTTGAATCAAATCATACTCTTCTTTTCCCATGTAGTCCAGGTCTCTAAACTTTAGAATACTCGCTGCAACTCAGAAAACTAATTTTTGTGGTTGTGCTAGGAATCTCAAAAATGTCGAAGAGCATAATGCTCCAAAATGTAGAACAAACCATGCGACTACCCCACAATTAGGAAATTTACCGAGGCTGGCAACGACGGCACTTAGCACTTACCCCTGAAATAAATTCCAGGCTAGTGATATAGTGTATTTTATAATGTGTCTGAATGACATTTTCGATTACTCCAGTCGATCACTCTACTTAGAAAATTTCAATCAATCGAGGTGTTTGAGGATCTATAACTTTTGAAGCTTCAAGTCTATCGTCATTCGAATTATTAATTATTGAAAGGTTACAGCGAACGAAAAAAGCAAGCAAACAACAAGTGCGTCATTGACAACTTGATGGGAATTTGATCTCCAGATGCTAAGCTCAATAATGAAATAATCAAGAAATCCCGAAAGTTAAATATATGGTTCGTTGTCGGCGTCGGTGATACAAATGGCCGGTAGATCCAACCCAGTTGCGATCGGGTGAACGTTAGACCGCCTCTATAGGGCTGCATACTTAAATATCAATACCCAAATTCTCAGACAGAATCGGCATGGTATTCTACCGGCTCGGGACACAAAGCATCCGCATCCGAGATCTATACAGCAACGACAGTCCAACTTCAAGCGTCTTGATCTTTCGTAAATCTCTAAGTCTGGGTTTTCATAACACTCGAAAAGATGACGAAATGTTTGTTGTCTGACCCTTATTTTGTTCTTGGCCCAGATGATTTTTCTGGTCATCCCTGAAATTCTACATTTCCAAGTAACTCTGGTTTTTACACAGCCCATATTGTAAATACCAGTAGTTGGGGTGTGCCGCGAGGACTACCTCTTTCTCTCGGCCAGTTGTATCCAGTATAGACATCTCATATCTATCAATGGGTCTATCCCTATCCCAACCCAATCACGAAGATGGGGACAAGTATAGTACTCTCATACATATCATCCAGGAAATGGTGAAACGAAAGTGGTTTTATGTTCATACACGAGAGATCACCGACATCGAGTGCAAAGAGTCTCTCCTTCTGTATATTGCACTGGGCTGTCGAAGCAAGCACGGATGTCTATTTCAGATGATTCTGCACTTGCCGAACCTAGCCATCTGTTCTCAAGTTGTACATCGGCAGCATAGCTCTCTCGTAACACGAAATAGAGCATCGGCCAATTCTTTAATTTCAACAAGTCTCGCATGATTTTCTCTGTTGCTACGATACGACCGCATTTCCAGCACGGGGAGATCGAGATATAAAATAGCAGTATGAATATACTATGAAAGCAAACATAAACAAAAGTGTTCGCCCCCCAAACTCAAGTCTGAAAGATCCACCTAACATCTTCATCATTTTTCAAAACCTCATCTCCTACCTCTCCACTCTCTTCTCTCCTCTTTTTCTCTCTGTTTTCCTTTTCCAAACAGATCCACAACGTCCCCACGACTACCAAATTTGCTACCAAATACCCCAATGCAAATCCATGTCCTAAAAACCATCTAGGACTCGTCGCCGGCCTATACAATTGCGTTCCCAAAACTGCTCCCAAATTTCCAATCGTAATCGTCATCGCAGTTGCTGTGGCCCGTTTAGTTTGTCCGCTTACATTTGCCGCGGGCCAGGAAAGCACGATGGCGGTACTGGGATAAATTCCGCCGGCTGCGAAAAAAGTTCCGAGATAGGAGATGCCGGGTTTGTTGTGTGGAGTTGCAAGAAGGATGATATAGCCGATGATTGCAAATGAGGAGGAGAAGAGAATGAAAGGAGCGCGTTTGTGAGTTTTTTCAGCGAGGATGGCGATGATCACTGTAAGGACTGTTGCGAATGCGTAAGGCGGGACAGTGAGAAGTTGTGCGGTAGCCGCTTTGTAGCCGAGGGCCGAAATGATGGTAGGGAAGAAAAGAGAAAGGGTGTAGAGGGGTAGAGACATTGTGTGGAAACCGAGACTGTAGAGCCAGCATTTGTAATCTCCAAAAGCGGCGCGAACGTTGGCCCAAGTGAAGGGCTCAGTATTGGTTGCATCAGTGGAGGACTTGAGACGCGCATGGATAAAGGAACGTTCTGGTTCCGTGAGAAACGGCGCGGTTGAGGGGTAATTGTGGATGAAAAAATAAGCTAAGAGAGAGACGACGACAGTCAGAAGTCCTTCCTGTTCTTTTGTTAGCTCAATCGACTTCAAAACTTTAGTCTTAGGAGTCTTACAATGATGAAAATCCATCTCCACCCTTTCAATCCTCCCACTCCATCCATGAACCCAATGCCATAAGCCAAGATTCCACCAAAAGCACCAGCCAACGAAGCTGCAGAAAAGAACAATGCAACTCGATAATGAGTTTCCGTCCTCTTATACCACATTGATAAGTAAAATACTACACCAGGAAACAATCCACTTTCCGTAACACCCAAGAAGAATCTTGCAGCTAGAAATCCTGCATAATTTGTAGAAACTCCCATTAAGGTCGCGACAATTCCCCACAGAAGCATGAGTGTTGGGAGCCATGTTTTGGGTGTTGTGCGTTTAAGTATGATGTTGCAAGGAACTTCGAAGAGAACGTATCCGATAAAATAAATTGTCAATGTCAATAGATATTGGTTCCCGGTGATCTTTAAACTCGTCGCTAATCCATCAAGTTTCGCATTTCCGACTGTGTGTTTGAATTTTGGTCAGTATCATTCTAATGATCAATTCGCAACTTTCGATTGAAGCCATTTCCACCCTGATTTCGAAAAGAGGGAGGTATTGACGCAAAGAAAAGGGAGTAAAACATACTGTTACTCCTATCCAAGAAACTCAGCAAATAAAGCAATGTAAGTGCAGGTAATAGTTTCCAATCCAACTTTCTTACTAATGCCTTTTCATTTATACTCGTCGGATTTGCAAATGATTCATCAGAAACCTCGCTCTCATTTCCATTCCTTTTTTCATTTCTGCCAATTCCATCATTGCCATCCATTTCCACTGCGATTTTCTCCTTATCCAGCGCCTGTTGTGGCGCCGTATGCGACATTACGAAAATTGCAACGGATCAATTGTATCTCCAATGTGCACGAAACAACGCTTCGACGTCGAGGAATGAAGAAGGAACAGAAATTCTTCGAAAGCAATAAAGATTGAGGGTGGGTCAATATACTTATATCATCCCCGTCATATGGAAAATATCAAATGGTGTCAAGATTGCATGAGAATGGATCAAATCACATCACATCACAATCACTAGGATAACTTCCATCTTTTCCGTCTTATCAAGATAATAAACCGAGGCTCACAGCCATTCCAGTTGCAAGGGGATTGCCATGTATAAAACCAAATGATGTAGCACGCAATCACTCAACTTCGAGCCACTGCGATATACTCATAGCTACAAGTTACATCATGATCCTCAATCCCTTGTTCACTTATAAACTCTTCAACCTTATCGTCTTTTCGTTTCCAAAGCCAATGAAACGAAAGCCATGGCCCAGACAATCATATCGGGAAGCTGATTTCTACAGTTTGGCCTACGATTTAAGTTGCAAGGGAAAAAGATTGGTGCTCCCTGCTACTTAGCGCAATGATGAAGTTCTGGCTTAGATGTCGTGATCATTTGGTATCGGAATTGCCGCTTTCAGTAGTTGTGTGCGATGATCATTATGGTGGGTGGGGTTCTTCTAATTTCTGGGGAATCGATTGCATTTTATCTCTTTCGCGTGGTCATGTGTTTTGACAAAAATTCAACAAGACATCCCATCCCGCCGAGATCAAGTAATCAGACTGAGCAAGCAACTACACAGATGCCATGATATGCCTGAAGTCAAGTCAACAACAATATGGATTCAGATTGATCGAAACGTGAAATAAATTAGTCAATTATTATGCTATGATTAACTAGCTAATTCGCAAGATAAACTTCGCCGATTTTTATCATTCAGTGTTAAAAGGAAATTTATTCCAGAATACACACTGGTTGCACCCACTGGATGCACTCCCCCAGGTCTCCTTTTTTTCATCAGACGGGGTATCGTAGACGTGCCACAAAAACACCAGCTTTTCCATGCAACTCCATCGATGCAAAGTCGATGTCCATTGATATTTCAGGTCTAAGAAAAGAAGATTTGAAAATAAATTGTCCAAGAAAGTGAGATTAGGCCACCTTCGGCCTTCACACCAAAAAGGAAAGATTATTTAGCATCGCTACCAAGCCTGATCAGGTCTCTGGCAACTGTATGTGATGGGGGGAATGGGCTGAGAGGATTACAATTTCAGGGTCCAGGCCGCTATAGGTAAGTCGTTTAAAGTGTCGTGCCTTCGAGGCTGAGCACCTTTGATGGATCGCCCAAGAATTTGGCACGATGTGCAACAATCTCCGAGGCAATGGCATCGAAGTCTTTAATTTTTCTTGCTCGCAGGCCCGAGAGTAATGATTTCAAACCTTCAATAAACCTATCTCGTTGTTCTCCTTCGAACTCGTCTGGAGATCCCAATTTCGCGAGAACGGCGTCATCTGTCGGAACAAAAGTTAGCAAAGGGGACGAAAGGGATACTCAAGGGTGAGCTCAGAGCATGCTGGCTGGAACTACCGACGCACCAGGCAGTCCCATTTCTCTAAAATGCTGAAAATCGCAGGTATTGTCATTGCATATTCCTCCCATCAATTCATATCGACATAGCTCTTTCTTCGCATCAATCTTGTTAGTATAAGTGATCGACTTCAGCCCACCCGGAATTTGTTGCTTATATTCTGGATGAAACCGAAATGCATGAAACACTCTCAAAGGGCTTTCATATGGTGTAAAAAAGCTTGAGCTATTAGGATCGCTAGAAAGGGGTTTCTGGGCTCAGGTCAGCCTGGGAATTGCCACCAAGGATGGAGAAGACTTTTACTTCTGTTAGTTGAGGGACACTACCATCTTCTGCCGGCAGACTTTGTTCTTCTCCATTAGAAATAACTTCCAGATCGATATAGTTATCGTTTGACGACTCTGGCAATTCGCCATCTTCTGCTGCACCAATCACTGAATCTGGTGGAGCGGGGCTAAATGGAGATGACGCCACCGGCGAACTCTCATCAGCAGCGGGAGTGGCCTCTGGGGGCTCATAGTTATCCGAATCTACATCAGCGATCTCAGAGGCATCTACCACATCAGGAATTTTGGGAGTTGACGAAGTTGCAAGTGGCTGAGAACGCTCAAGGACTGGTGAATAATCGGAGCTTGCTTTCTCTTCATTGGGTGTGGCAGTTACGTTGTTGACTTGCGTAGGAGGCGCATTGCTGTCTTCCATTTCGACGTCACTAGGACCAACAGAGTCTGCGTCGGCGCGCACGGCTTCTTGAAGCGCAGCCTCAAGATCTTGGTTGGTTTCGGATGCCTCTTTGACCTCGGAAGAATGGTCTTCGGTTGTGTCATATGCAATATCGTTGACACTATCAGGTTGTGTCAGAGGTATAGAAATTGGGGAGGCAGCAGCGACATCAGTAGTATGGGATTGTTCAGGTTGTTGTTGTTGTTGTTGTTCTTGCGGCTGCATTGCGTCGCGAGCATCATCGATTTGGTCATCTAGTTCCATGGGAACTGATGCAGATTTTGGCTCGGATTCGGCGAGACTTTGTGGTTCTGGCTCACGGTCTGGCTGAGCAGAAGCTGAAGGTGGTTCAGCTGTGGGAATGTGAGCATCTACTATTATGGCAGTCTGATAATTGTAATCTTGCACCTACCTGGATTGTCTTTTGTCTCTTCACGTGTGAGACTGTCCAACTTTTCTTTTTGCTCCTGCAATTGTTGATCGGTTTCTTGACCTAGTCTTTCCATTTCCTCAACCAGCTTTTGTTTATCCTGAAGATTCTTTTGCACCGCCGCTTCGATTCTGGCGATTTCGGCACGAAGTTCCTCAAGTCTCGCTTGGTTTTGTAAAGCTTCAGCGTCCACACGGGGAATGGCGCTCGCAATTCTTTCACGTCGGAGTCGTTTGAGTTCGGCCTCTTCTTTTCGAATATCAGCGGCTTTTTGAAGCTCGGCAACTTGAGCTGCATTGGATTGTGTTTTTTCCTTAGAAATGTTGGTTGCCTTTTGTGTTTCGATCAAAGAATTTGGTCTACTAGCTACAAGGCCAATGTTGCTCGTACTGGTTGCGACGTTGTTAATTGGAGTTTGTGCACCGCTGCTGGTCCTTTTGTTTGCCTTCCTCATTTCAGCTTCAGCAATTTTTCTCTTTAGTTGCTCAATTTCGCTTTCCTTGCGTCGAAGATCCTCAGGGTGTGGCTTAATAGAACTTTGTAAATTTGGTGGGGTGCTTGTCGACGATGTAGGAGGTGGAGTAAATGGTTTCGGTGGAAGAAAAGAAGATGCTGTCGGCAATGCCTTTTGTTCGGGTAGCTTGCGAGGGGGTTGAACAGGCGAATCTGCATCGGCCTGAGATTCCAATTCCATTTCGACATCTTCATCGGACTCGTCTTCATCCTCGCTGACACAAATGACAAACGGTTTTGGTTCCACGCGGCTTTGACCAAATGGTCGCTTGAGCGGTATTGTGGATGTTGAAGGCCCGTCAAAGTCAGCAGCTACTGGACGTTTGCGCTGCCCATTGAGAACCGGGGTTGGCATGATGGTTTGTGGGACAGATGATGGGGCTGGTGGGATAGAAGCTAAGAACAAACCCGGAATCTTTTGAGAGGTCTGTTGAATATTTGAGGGTGGCGCGCTCGATTGGGGAAATTGTGTTGTGACAGTCAAAGCTGGAATTGAAGCTGAGCTACTTGAATCTGTAGTACCAACCTTGTTTTTTTCAACGACTTTTTCAGCAGAGGAAGTGGAATTTGGAACCGATGTAGGCAGTTCAGGGATTATGGTTGGTTTAGCATGAGCAATTGCGCTTGGAAGACTAGTAGCGGTAGTTGTGACAGACTTTGCCGCATTCTTCTGGGCTCGCTCAGCTCTCGATTTCCTGAGAGCGTCCATCTTCGCCTGCATTGTTTTTTCTTTCTCAACAGCGGCTGCACTCTTCGGCTGTGCAGTTGCAGAAGGAGCAGTGCCTCCGTTAGTTATAGCTTGTTTTGATTTATCTGTAGAGCTTTGGGCTGAAACCTGACTATTCGGATGTCCACTAGTGGCAGGAAGGCCAGAGTGAGGCGCAGAAGAAACACTGGTGGAGGGACTTTGGGCAGAAGCTGCACTGATGGTTTTCGTTGCAGTTTTCGACAATCTAAGCTCATCAAACAATTCTCCGACGAGCTTTTCATCAACCCCTTCTTCAAGATAGGCTGGGAATCGAACATCATACGACCAAAGATTTAGGATGGCGCCTTCAGCTTTTTTACGAGCTTCGGCGACAGTTTTAAAAGTAACGGTATCGTTATATGCATCAGCTTGAGAAGGGTGAGAGCATCCAACGGCCTCTGATACCTGACCTTGTGTGAAAGAGGGAATATTTTCCTGGCCAGATTTGGATGCAGTATTGTTAGGCTCTCCTACCGGTGATTGAGGCTTTGATTTTTTCTGTGCACCGCCCTTCTTTACGTTCAATGGTCCCTTACCTGCGCCTGTATCCTTCATCTGAGAATTCTTGATTTGGTCAAACAGTGGCTCACTTTGGGCGATGAATGGGGAGTACGAGGCAGAAGGTTGGCGTTGATTATAATAATCGGCTGCTGCAGGGAGACATTAATAAACGAATTCATGAGGGGTTGAAATTGCTTACCATTGCGAAGAGTCGGTGGCGGCTGCTGAGGAGCAGGATCTTGGCCTGTTGGGTAGACAGCGCGATGGGCAGTATCAAGATAGCCAGTGCCATCATTCCCGCGATAGTGCCTCGAGCCCGGTGCGCCAATTGAAGCATTCGGAGCTGCTGAGCGCATGTGGGCAGAAGTATCATCAAACTCTCCTTCGCTCATTTCGCGATTTTCAACGTTACCATACGCGGGTGTTTGTGAATGATACGCTGGCTGCGGGGCAGCCACTGGCGCATAGTATTGCGAATTTTGAGCATAATTTTGATGATTGTACCCAGCATATGAATGCATGCCTTGCGGCGCTG